GGGACAAGTCCCTGTTTTTTGCCTTGTGGTGTGAAACCTCGTTTTAGTTACTAGTTGATGGCATTTGCCACTATCACAACAAGAGGTTAGGAAACTATATTTAGTCCTAGTCCTGGAATACACCCTTGCTTCAGACTCTGACATCTTTGCATGCCAATAGCTGATAAGCTTCTTCAGCTGCCAGGAGCATCCTCTGCACACAGCTGTGGCTCCCCAGCATGTGAGTCCCTGCAGGCAACACAGAGTGAAGGAAAACCAGGGCGCTCAGTCTAGGCCCTGATTAAAGCATGAGCAAGCAATACCAAGTACAGAAAAAAGAAATCCCTAGAAATGAATCAGAACTGGACTGTAGGAAGTTGGTTAGTGGAGTGGAGCAAACAGCACTCAGCATCCACCAAGCTCCAGGCTTCTCCTTTCTGCCAGGCTAACCAAAGGGAAAATGGCAAATGTGAGTTCTCTGCTGCCAGCCACAGACAGAGGACATGTTGTGGACTTTCAAGGAGGGTACAGACTCCTGCGTCATAACCTTTTGGAATGCAGGCAAAACACATCAGCATCTGCTGCTGAGGTTACGTCTTTCTTCTAATAACCCTGAAAATAGAAACCTTTTCATGTTGAACAAAGTAATGCATGGCCCAGAGAGACCATGCATCTCCATGCTCAAAGGTTTTTCTTGAAGACTCAACTGGGCACAGAGGAACTGGCTGGACAAGAGACTGCCTGAAGATCCTTCCAACCTGAGTTACCTTGTGAGAGATCATAAATTCTGCAGCCCCCAGCCCTGCAGTTTGGCAAGAATGTACAGATTACTGCAGCACGCTGGTTTTAGTTCCCGTAGGAGTTCTCCAGTTGTCCACACTTTGCTGTACCACAGACAGCCCAGTCCACTTTAAATCACTGACACAAAACATTGGGAAAAACACAAGCAGGTTGTGGTACTCTGAAATTACCTTCTGAAAGGAGACAGGTCCATCCTGCAAACACAGGAAAAGCTGGACAGAGGGACTTGATTCCTGAGACCTTGCTTAATGAGAGGGGCAAAACCCCACAAAGTCCCCAGCAGCTCGGTCTCCCCAAAGCTGACTCTGATTCCTGAGGCTGCTGCTGTAGAAAGTGGGAGAGGATCTGCCTTTCCCAGACGGTGGCTGCAGCTGGTCTTCCTTACAGAAAGGAGGTGCAAGGGGCTGCCATGACCCACAGCCTTTCTTGGGGCTCCAGCAAGTTCAACTCACAACCTCCTAGCCCCACCCCCCTCATGCCCAGCTAAAGCTGCTGGGTGAAGGGGATCTTACTGCAGAGGTTTGAATATTTCTGTGAGCTTCTTTTTCCCCTAGCATTTCCTTAAAAAGCCCAGCAAGGATTTCCTCACCACTGCCACTATCAGGAAGAGGTAAAAGCATCTGCACAAGCCTCATTATCTCTTGTGCTCAACTTCCCTCCATTAGTAACCACCTCAGCACAGCGCATGTCTGCTCCAGCTGCAGCAGTGGAGAAGGGACAGTATCATCTCTCCACCAGAGAATCCAGCTTTGGATGCCATACCAGCAGATAAACTGCAACCTCCTGTTCTCCTGCTGTCTTGCAGCAAAGCAATTTGCTCACATACAGGACTAACACCATGCCAGGAGAGAGCTGACTGCTTAAAAAGAGGATTTGTTAGCTGTCAGCCCAAAGGAAGGCACTAAGTGATGAGAGAATTACATAAAGGTTTTAGAAGCAGATCAGTCAATCCTCCCAGGCTGTGCCTGGTTTATGGGAACCTTTCCCTCGACAGAAAGAGCTGGGGAAAAGGCTCTCACACTACTTGTTCACTGAGTTGGAACACAGCCTCCCACAGAACAACAAGCTATCATCTGTAACCACGCCTTCAGAGGAGTGAAACCTGAACGTGTTACATTTCATCCCATCTCCTCTCCCTTAACCCCATAACAAGCTCCTCCAGGCCCCTTCCCACCAGCCTCTCCCCTCACAATCCCTGCCCTTATGTGCCTCACAGCTCGTCCCTAACCACACCCAGTTACCACCCTCTGGCCTGTTAGCCATGCCCAGCACCACTTCTGGGACAAGTATTATCCATCATGCAGGCTGCAGCCCCTCTGTGGTGACATCCCACACCCTGACTGGGGGATTTTGAAAGAAGGCAGATTGCTGCTGCTGTACCAGCCACATCCAGCTATCCAAAAACCTGTCACAGGGAAACAGCACCTTTGCACGGGAACATAGACAAGGAACAGTACTTGTTTCCAGGAACATAAAACATTGCTCTCTGGGAGAAATGGGTGAAACAGGAAGGCAGTCCTTATCGCCCACACTGCTTCCACAGCCACCCACCTGCTGAGGCCGCTCACTGCTCCAGCTGCAAGGAGATGTCTGCAAGTTGGATCCTGCCCTGGCTGACCTAGCACTGTGTGTGGTGGAGTGTGGGAACCTCTAGCATGAACTCATTATGAATGTGGACAGGGCAACTCCTTGACTTGAAGGAAGCTTTCTCCTTCAGCTCAGCTACCAGGATCCAATTACAAATGGTAAGACAGCATCTAGTTTTCTTTCCAAGATTCAACCTCAATTTTTCATCAGATGTTTCTATTTGCTCTTGCTGCTTCACAGCTCTCTTGGTCCAGTAACTTCACTGCTAGAAAGATGAATTTTCTTTCCCCACATGCCTTGTAGGGATTTATTCAGTGAACTGGAAGACACTTTCCCGCAGACTGACCTAGTTCCACATTTTTGAGCTGTGTGGAATGCTGATCCGGTGGGCCAAAAACACATCTGTTCAAAACACTTCCAAGGTCATCGCCCAAGTGAAAGATGGAGATCTGGAAAACAAAACAAATGGATTATTTGCCCCACCCCCCCAAACCTAAAACCTAATGTTGCACACTTGCAGGTTTGGCTCTGGGATGCTGAAAGCTGTGTGTGTCCTTGGGCAGATGAGTTAGGATGGTTTGGTTTTCACCTACGTCATCTTCAGTCCAAGTCAGTTCTAAAATCCTGATAAATTTTAAAAAAAACCACTGCCTCTGCTTTACATCATTCTGGTGAAGCCCAGAGCAACTGTTAAAGGCAGCAAACACTTGTAAATGGGGGAAGAAGATATATTTGTGCAATAATACAAGTAAAAAGCCAAGGAATTAATTTTTAACATATCAAGTAATGGCCTTCGAAGGGATAAAAATTAGGAATCTAATAAGAATGGAACTCCTGTATCAATGATAAGTACTGAGAAGAGTGGTACATGAAGAAAGCAGGAAGAAATGGGACACTCTGGAAAGTCTTAACAAATCCAACAAAATCAGAAAATGGTTTAGAAGAACCTTTAAAATGAGTTTTATTGTCAGAATTTTACAAGTAGCCTTCAGTGGCATCATACAAGAAGAACTCTGTTGCAAAACTCTAATAAATAGTCTGCCCCAAGTCCCAAAATATTTTTTGAAATAAAATAAAACCAAACTTAAAAAGAAAAGAGAATAAAAGCAAGACTTCAGGATGCTCAGAGATGTTAGCAATATTTCCCATTTACAAATAATATCAGGCATTTATATAAATCTCCTTCATTACAAGTCATTAAAAAACCCAAGACATTCTAAACCTTTACAAAAGCACTCCAGAAATAGTTCCAAAGAGATCCATTTCCATGACAAAACATTAGAGAAGAACTCCATGGGGATTAGCATCACAAATGAAGTTTGAGGTTGAAGTGTAGTGTGTACTTGTGTGCAGCAAGATTAAAGATCATGAAAAAGGGATTTGAAGAGAGCATGAAAGTCTTTGACAAGACCGTACCAGTGATTTTAATCTGTGTATTTGAGAATGTGATAAAGGGGAGTGAGAGGATGCTCTCGAAATTAACCCCCAAATACACTGCACTTTATGGAAGGCAATATTTACTAAGGTAGTAACTATATCCTCAGAAGGGAGTAGAAAAGGTTTCTCAGCACACTGCACAGTTCAATGCCTGTGCAGACTGCGGTGCTTAAAAGCTGTATTTTGACACCTACAAGGTATTTTCTGTAGAGGTAATACGTTGTGGCAAGTTAGGTTCCTTCAAAGAACAAGAAATCAACTTTGCTGGCATGAAGCAGTTTGGGAAATCTCATGAGAGACTATTTCACTGGGGACTCAGGATTTCAGAGCTCCAATCCTGTCCCAGTGCTTTGAAAAATACACTTCTCTAATTCCCCTTTACATATTCCTCTATCTTCCATAGTAAAGGATTTGTAAGATTTCTCATGCAACAAAACACAACTTGAATAAACTTTTTTTCAAATCTGCTGAAAACAAGGGAAACAGAATGGGAGGGAGGTACACAGTGATAGTTTGTGTGGTTTTCATGGTGACATTTCAGGGGGAGGAAAAAAAAAGTCTTCATCTCTTTACAACTTCAGCTTAAGTCTCCTGCACGTATGCAAGCACCAGACTCCCCTGGAAGGGCAGGGTGCTGTACTTAACTGAGCACTGCTGCTGGATTGCTGATGTCTCAGCCTGCCTGATGGGGTATGAACTGCAGCATGCCTGGTTTTGCTGTTTGTAAAGGTACTTGCAGCCATTGTTTCCACAGGAAACAAAGGCCACCAGAAATGCTAATGCAACAGATGTGTGATAATATGCCTGACCCATGGCTCACCTCTCTAGTCTTTCTCTGAGCTGTGATGCTGGTTGCACTGTACCATACACTATGGACACGCGCTCTCTGCAATGTATGGGAAGGTAGCACTAGTAACCAAGCGCAAATTGCTAAGGAGACACCTAAAACATTGCATTACATCCCCTTGTCTGTGGCATACTTCAGAAAACAATGTCAGAAGAGCAGTAAACATTTCTTTCTAATTTTTTAGATGTCATAATATTTGCCAAAGCTGCAAGGAAAAGCAGATTACCTGAAACAGAGAGAAAGGAGTTAATGGAAACAGAGGCAATGGAACAGCAAGCCTGATCCTGGCCTCCAAATAATTTTGTACATAACAGATAAAGAGACAATGTGCAAAAAATAGACATTCACATTTTAGCAGTTAAACTTTTATTTTTTTATTTTACCTTTTTAAAATTATTTACTTTGTTTTTTCTACAAAAGGCAGACATTGATTGTTGATCTGCAATTGTTCTGAGTGCGCGCAGAGATGCAAAAAAGGGTTATTGGAGGATGAAGAACAGGGAATTGCTCTGACTATACTTTCACATGTCATAATTAAGGTGGCATTAAAGCTTAAGTCCCAGTAATAATATTCATAACAGATAGTTTCCTTCCCCATACACCGTTCTCAGTTCATATCAATTGTGTTGAAAACCCATTCGGTGAATTTCTTCAGCTTTTCAGTTGCATTCTGGGATTCCTCCTGTAACCTCAAGTTGTCTTCCCGCAAATGTTGCACTTCAGCCTGAAGGCTGGCCTTGTCCTCTTTTTCCTTAGGCATAAGGAAAAACACAGATCTTAGTGGAAATTTTAGGTCATGCTTCCTATCTATCTAGAGCAGCAGGAATCTCTTAAGAGAGCCTAAGTCTCATTCTTTTTAAGGATTTTATGTGCAGTAACACACAGGTTTACATCCAAGGGACATTAGTGATGTTTCCCTGCCCATGTTTTGATTGCATGAACAGGATTTCTTTGTATTAGATCCCAATACAGAAGCTGACTCCCCAGGTGGTCCAATAAAATTGGCCATGACCTGTTCTGTATGTACAAGTGCTGATGGTTAACTAAGTAAAGGGCAGGGAATCTTCCTGCAAACACTTTTCCAGCTAAGAGACTTGATCTCACTACTGCAGATCCTTCTTGGACCAAGTAGGCATTAAAACAATACAGGAAGTTTCCACCGCAGAAATTACAGGTTTAGATAACACTGCCAACTTTTTATCAGCAGGATACATTTTTATGGACTAACTTCAAGGCTTTTGCAGTGTCACCTGAATTAGGAATGGAGGTACTGTGAATCACCCTCCTAATTTAAGCAGAGGAATCAAACGCCTACAAATTCAGACACCCCATCCCAGCCGTGCATAATTAGAAGCCTGAGAAAAGTAGCAAAGAAATGTCTTTTTCTCATACCAGGATGAGACTGTCACAGGCTCAGGCATGGCAAAGCAGGATTACACAGTTATTAGCACCACCAAGCAGTACCTAAATACATGTCTTACAAATCCTTCTGTAGATGAAATGCTTACCTTCCTTAAATCTTCTTGCAGCATCTTCAGCAAACCTTCCAGTTGGTCCACTTTAGAGGCAAGAGTTGGAGGAGATTCCTTACTGTTGAAAGCAGGAAACAAGAGCAGGTATTGATATGATTTACTTTCTTCACATGCAGTAGCTAGAAGCTTTGTCTGTACCAAATGTCTTTATGAAGGTATGCATTTGTGTGCACCAAGAGGTCACAAAATGAACATAATAAAGAGTTCATGGAACACTTGCAGCACATTAAACAACAGAGCAAATTTATTTCATGCTTTAGGGTCATCCCATCACTTGACTTCTTTCTACTTGAACTCACTGTATATGCCTTGAATTACCATTGCTTTGGACAGTTTCATGAACATCTCAGACAAGAAATAACATGCAAAAAGATTCAACTGGACTTGAAATTCTTTTATTTTCACCTCCCAACTCCATCTTCATGAGAACTTGTGAAGAGTTACTGCATGAAGCCTGGAGATGGCTTCCAAATGAAGACATTCCTACTCTTTTCCTTGGTTTGCAGCTGGGAAAGCCTGCACATCTGGTGTATTTACTTACCCTGTATAAGGCTTTATCTGTGCAGTAAGCTGGTCCTCGGCCTGATCACTGCTGGAAGCAGCACTCACAGGTCTGTGATTTTCATCAGCAGCAGCAAAGAATGAAGCTCGCTGAACTGAGAAGGCAAACATACAGAGAAAAACAATGGCAGCAGTAATGATTATTTGTTCATGCACAGCACAACAGCTACACTGCAGCATCTCTGCAATTTCAGTCTGTTTCAAGCAAGGTAAAGTGATGATAGGACATACCAGTGTCCATTTGATGGAAGCAAACTGGCAGTGCAAGTGTTTGCACCAGGTTTGCCACTGTACTGGAGTCAGGAAGTACTGGCGCTGGCACAAGCAGCACTGTGAAGATCTTTCTATGTACAACTCAATGATACCACCCAATAACTTAGCAAGTATATTTAGCTTTCACTCTATAAAGAATGGCTTTATTTTGAGGAAAGAAAAGCTCACCGTGTGCAATTTGACCAATATCATTTTTTAGAACCTGAATTTTTTTCCTTATGTCTTACAAAAACTTTTTGAGATTGAAACACGAAACCTCTTTCCTGCCTTGTGTGTGCATTTCTTGCACTGTAACTGTTCAAATGTTCTTATCCATCTGTAAAACAGTGTCACATGGTGTGACAAACAGCAGTATAAAGACTTTAGCTTAATCAATAACCTCAGCAGCTGTTGGGCTCTCACTGGAAACAAAAGAGTATTTTCTTTTACTGTCTGGCAAATTTTTATACTGCAGGTTGGTGTAGCTCAGGAATCCAGGCCGTTTTTCTTTCAGCTGGTACAGATACCACAATTTGTAACCTCAGGGGCCCGTGCTGAGGACACTAATCAGTGGTGTAGAGGAGGTATTCAGGATCACAAATCAGAATTCAGGCTCCTTGGTATGTGTCAATCCCTACTGGCACTTGTCAGAGACTAGAGACTGGGATTATACTGAGACCAGACAACCAAACACCAATGGAATTACACTGAGATCCCTCTCCAGGTCAAATTTGAATGTATTTTTATAGCAGTGAGATGAAGCTGCCAGATAACACATTACTCCAGCTTTTCTTCATCTGAGCTGTCAGTTTGTTATCTTGACCACAGTGACTGTGTTCACACTTTTGAAGAGAAACACAAGTGAGTCTGGGGCCTACCAAGTGAGGGATTCAGGTTAATGAGGACAGTCAAATAAATCTCACAAAAAACGAGGGGATCCTTTAAAGAGAAACTGCCAGCCACAGGGAAATGTGTTAAAACCTGAGTTTCACCCATATGTGGTGATGAAAAAACCATCATTACAAATTCATCTCCTCTTGAGGACCATGTCTTACATTGCATATTCTTCCCAAAACTGCACAGCAGAAATACAAGCCAAGCTGTTCCTACAACTCCTGTGGCAGCAGAGCAGAGGACACGAGTACATCTTGAACACTCAGAGACACCCACTGTCCTAATGATATCAAAGGCTACTACCAGAGAACGGCCAAGATATCAAATTACTTCACAGACTTCTCCAACCATGCTGAATAAGGTCTAAAAGATTCAAGATAGTGAAAAAACTTCCATGAAGGTGGCACAGCATTTATGCAGCTATTTTAGGAGTGGGCACTTCTGTTTCATACACCTAGGAGACTTTTCCATTGGATTCTAGTAACATAAATTCTCTTTCATCTAAACTGCATTTTAAGTTTTAATTTTAAGTTCAAATGTATCTAGACAGTTTACAGTTCTCTTCAGTTTACCAAATGTCACAGAGATGGAAAATGCCATAGGATGAAACAACACTTACATGCAAATCTACATTTTTGGGGTGTGCAGAGGCAATGAAAAAGTATTTACCAACAAGGTGTATTTCCCAAATTATCTTGTAGCAAACTTCAGCTGCACTGGATGCACTTCTCACTAGTGCAGTAAGCAAGCAATCTTTAGTGTGCTTTTCCCCTACTATACGACTTTATTTTTCCACTTTTGTGCCTTTCCCAGACCAGCTTCCTGCAACTGTTTTACATGAAACGAAAAGTGACCAGTTTCACAAAGATTTGGCCAAGCTCTACCACCAAGGATTTCCAATATGAAGAAATGGTATCTGACTATTACATATGAAGTTTCAGCCTATTAACACTTGAGTTGGTATTTTAAACGAGCTAAAGCCTCAGACTAAGTAAAAAATTAAGAACAAAAAAACTAAAAGTCAGGATTAAAATAAACCCAAACAAACATAAAATCCACAGTCCTTAACAAAGCGTGCACAAAGACCAGCTTCCTAAGCGTTGTATTCTGAAAACTTACCTTCAAAAGCTTTGGCAGCATCTACCAAATTTGACCAGTCCAGATCAGAGGCAGAATCAGGCAATGGCATAAGACCAGGGTCTGGCATGGGCTGCCGTCTTTGCTCCTGGATATCTGTGAGGGAGCTGTCTGAGGCAGAAAACTCTCCTGCAGCAATGCAGAATAGATTATAAACCCCATAAAAATACCTGAAAATTCCTTTCTTAATATATTGCACGTCCTATTCTTAATATTTCTGGCACAGCACTTTTCAAAATCAACCAAAATTCAGAAGACTGATGAACTGCAGTTCACCAGTACAGCCCTTCACAAAGCAGATTTCTAAAGCCAGCACATTCAGCTCCTTTCTAACCTGCCTTCATGTTTTCAGCTGAGTTCCTCAAAAAACCCAAAAAAAACCCCAAAAACCAACCCAGAACTGTGAGGATTTTCCTTCCTCTTTACAATCGTGTAAACCAATGGGAGCCAAATTAAGCCTACCAAGATGAATCAGAAAAAGAAAACCCTTAAAATTGCTTCCAGAGCATTGTACATCTCTCAGCAGTTCAGTGAAACCTTTAGATCTTTACTAAAAAATAGCCACACCCACCTGTAAGCTGTTACATGGCTCACTATGGGAAAAAAAACATTGGCAAGTTTGAAAGCAGGATTCAAAATCCCTGTAATTTTTGTGCAAATTAAAAAAACAAAAGTGAAACACTTAGATTTTCACCACTAATTAGGGCAAGACCGAAGAGTCAACCAAGAATTATCTACTTTATTTCAGTTTACTGGCTGGACAATCAAAAAATGTGCAATGCCTGGTCACATCTGTGAGCTCAGAAGCAGCAACAACTTCCTTTCTCACGCTCTCTGTGACGATGTAAAGAAGTTTTGAAAACCTTGTAGGCAGTATTAGAAGAGAGAGATGTAGGGGTGAGATGATGGACCAGCCACTTCGGAGGAAGTGGCTGAGAAGATCAGAGAAAAGAGTCTGCTTGGATCATCCAGAACAGAAAGACAGTGTAATAGGCAGGATATAATCCCAAAATGCCTGAGTTGTGTTATTTCCCCCCCCGCCCCCCCACACCCTTTTTTTTTATTTAGGATAGTCTAAATACTATGTAACTTCAATAACTACAATAATTCATAAGAACTTTTGCTAAATCATATTGCTGCCTGGAATACAGTGACCAGAAAAGCTACACTGCATTCACTTCTTTGCTCAGAAATCTTGAAATTTTTTGTGTCTGTGTGTATTTACTTTTTGTAAATGTAATTTCGTTACATTTTATTTTGTTACATTCAATATTATTAACACTGAGGATTCTTGTCTTATCTCTCAAGAGAGTTATTTTGGAGGTTGTTAACGTGAAAATATTTCCAATTAGTGAAAAGATACATGCAATTAGAGAAAAACCTAACTATTTGAAGAGCTACCTGTTTCAAAAAGGTGAGTTGGATTGCTAAGGCAGATGAACAAATACGAGCATTTTTAGCTCAACATTTTTCCTCTAAAAAAATGGATGTGCTCTGGAATCTTTGAATTTAAACAATTTTGAATAACTGGAAGCCAACAAATACTTGTGGTACTAAATATCTAGCTTACTTAATCCTTTTCTCAGTGAAAGGTGTGTGGGAAGACAATTTGTGTGCCAATCAAATAGCTGGTCCTTTTATCATGCAGCTCCTACGTTTTATAGAAAATGGAAAATCTTGATTTGTTGACAGAGGTAGAAAGGTTATGTGCTAGGAGGAGTTATCAGTTTAGGGTGGAAGGAAACATGATAACAAAAGAAGGTTTTGCAGTTTTCCTTTTGGAAAATACAGCATTTAAATGAAAAGAAACAAAGCACTGCTTTCCACTTGCACTCTGGTGGCATCATTAATCTTCTGACCCCAAACCCTCAGAAACCAAATCCTCATCCAGTTACAAGCACAACCAAGTCTACAAAGTTATTTTAGTGCATATAAAAAACAGAAATGAAAAGAGCTCAGTTTCCTAGCTCTTATGTAAGAAACACGTTATACAGACACAACAGCTCAGGAAAATGTCAGGTTCAACACTGAAAACTGATGCCTGGTGATCACAGTCAGATGAAAAGAATTTAAAATAGATTTCTTCATCAGCCTTCACTGTCAAATGTATCCTGTGTAGCTAAATACAGACTGTGCTTAGGGCCCTCTATAGTGAGTCGGATCTATTGATAGCCTTGCATTTTCCTCTTGAAACATCCTAAAACATGAATAAATCAGAGCAGCTATGTACTTCTTCAGAAAACACTGCAGAATCCTATCCTGAGATCTACCTCTATTTCTGGAAAACACACTCAGTTATGAAGTACAGTGGGAACCTGTGAAAATTCCATTTTTCACTGTGACATTCACGTGCAGCAACACACAACCCATCCAATACTGAGACTTTTCAGTAAACTGATGGGGGAAAGTTGAGTGTCTTCTTGACAGCACTTTACAAATAACTTTTTCTGGTTAACTGTGTGACTAAAATAAGTAATTCACATACTGTAAAATAAATAGGGTAAAGGAATGAATTTAAAAGCAATTGAACAGCTGGCACAATAAAAGCTGTATCTGGTGTAGCTGTGTATCTAGATGTCCACTACTATTTACCCACTTGTGTATCATTTTCCTAATCATATTTTGTTCCCGTAATCCCACAATAAGGAACTGACACCAGAAGTTCTCTCTGGTGGGTAACCAGGCATACATTATTTGTCCATTGGTCCAGCTGATCTAAGTGACTCTTGGAAGAAATGACAGAAACTTGCAGCCAGTGAGGCAAATTTCTGTGCTCCCTCTGCAAGGCAAATGCATGACCAGCCATGCCATATTACACCCACTGAAGCGAGGGAAAAAAAAGTAAATTCCTGTCCTTTTTTACATTTTCAGTCATGTGACTAGACTCTTCTCATCTGAGCAAAATAAAGACGGAACTACCAATTGCTGTAACAAACATTTTCCCCCAAGATGATTCACAAAGGATTCCTCTGGAAGTCGAAAAATGGGAATCCACTTACCATGTAGCGATTTCATTCCCAAAGTATAGGATGGTCTCCGTAACGGCAGCGACTTTGGGAGAGAAGGGTAGGTGCTGGTGAAGAGAACATCGTTTGGCATGGCTTGGTCCAAGAGCGAGGCCCGTGAGGTGAAGAAGTGGTCCCTTTGACCACTGTAAATACTCTCATCTGACAAAGTCCTTTGCAAGGCACGCCTTGTGGTAGGAGTGCTGGGAAAGGGAGACTGACAGGACAGAGTGTGTGACTATACATTCATAAACACAAATAAAAAGAAATGAGAAAAAAATAATCAATAAAGAAACATTTGAAATAATTTTTAACAACTTTTTTTAAGTAAGAAACCAAGTGTTTACATAGCATTTTTTCAGAGTGGACAGGAAAAGGAACTGAAGGAATTGGCTTTTAAGGAAGTTATAAGTAGGTAACATATAGAGATTTTTTTAGCCTATCTCACATTCTTACTTTTAAACACCCTTCAAACTTCTCTTGAAGTGGAAATCTCAGGCAGCCCTTGCTAACTCCAGAGCTGATATGTAGCAGGGAAATGGATACAGAAAGAGCCTGAATGCTGCACAAACCAGAGTTCCCCCATTGCACAGGACTGGCTGCCTTCCTGCAGGCACAGCACCAGCAAATGCCACCTAATTAGAAGTCTCCTGTTACTGAACAATGAGGAACACCCACCACTGCTGTGGGTCTTCAGAAGTATTTGAATCAAAATCACCCCCATCAGTAAGAGAGCTTGTGTCTTACCCCCACCACCAGCCCAACCTCCTCCATGCTCCACACAGGAGAAAGCAATGCTGGGGTAACCAGGAGTTTTGCACTCTCAGGCCAGTGCTGGAGAGCTGCTATCATGATCATTCCAACCAGCAGAGACACTGATTTTCATGAAACCTGTAGCAACATAGCTGTCTCTAAGGCATAACATTTCTTTACAGTTTGAAATTTGGTCAAAAATTGTTATGCTGTAAGAGTTTTTCTGTAATATGAAATCTAAGTCATAAAGTGGGCAGAATTAAGTTACTTTTAAAACGCCATTTTACTTTTAAGATGCAATTTATTGGTGTGACAAAGTTTTTAACTTGCTGAAATTTATCAAAAGTGCAACCAGGAAATAAAGATCAGGGTAAGAACTGATTCACTAACCCCACAGCAGAAAAACAGCATACTTGGGAAGATATCTTGGAATGAGAACAATTCTCTTGCTCAAAACAACCAACAGGAGGTGTTTGCATCACCCATGTCCCAGTTCCCCTGAGAACTACCACAAAACTAAGAAAATGTTATCTTGCCAATAACCAAGTTTTTTCATCTCTGGCCTCAAAACCAGCATCTTAATCTGTGCATGGAAGCCACACTCACAAGCTTTAACAAGCCACTTCAGGTTTTTACTAGCAAAAAAAAAAGTTACAGCTCTCTCTTCTGCATGGTTGCTGTGGAAACAATTTGGGCTCTGGATGACAAGCGCTGGCTGTACACGAAGACTACAAATCAAGACATTCTCTTCCGGATTATAGAGTCTAAAAATTAATACATGCACTTATATGTTATTCAATGTATTTTGAAACACATCAGGAAATGTTTCTAACTATTCTGCAAAAAAACAGGCTCAAGTTTAGGGATCATTTTTGGCAACAGGATCAGTGAGGTATAAAAGTGTGCTTTTTGCAAGGAGTTTCAGTACTGTCAGTAAGTCATTGTCTAGTGATGCAGTCAGAGAAGAACAGTTAAAATATGTAAGACAACACTACAGGATTTTCCATAACACAGCAATACAAAATGTTCTTTGCTATTTGGCATATTAGTCTCTCTAAATTTGAACACAAAGTTATAATAACACTGCAGAGACTGTAATAATAAAACTTTTCACCAAATCAGTTCTCCAGTAATCAGTTACAAAGAGATTATTTTCTGTCCACAATGAGAGTTCAGGAAATGCCTCACATTTTATTTTCCTGCTATGGGTGAGAATAGAAAAGATCTTATCTCTCTCTTTAACATACCTTAAAATTCTTCTGGGATTCAGGTGTTGGGCTATCGAGATCTATCAATTTCTTCAGCTCTTCTTCAACAGTGGACTTGGACGCTCGTTTTGGGGACGCCCGCAGGTCTCTTGCCGACGCCCGCAGCCGAGGGTGGGCCATTTCATTGCCATCGCTCTGGTGACGTCTTAAATGAAACGGAACAGACACATTCAGGTCTCAAAGCCCTGGGGCAGGAGGTATGAATGAAACAAGAATTATAGCATCCTCAAGTTTTTAAAATAAAAGAACTAAGCAGAGGGCACAGAGGATGGAAGAAGTCTCACTACTATAGCAGAGACTCACTTTAGTGGATACCTGTGGAAGCACTAAGCTTGTTTAAAAACATCTACTATCAATACAACAAAATAATCGAAAGGTTAATGTAATACATTTTCCCAATAAGGGACTGAATCCATTAAAATAATATGCATTCTATACAAATATAAAAACACGTCTTCAGTAAGCCCATAAGCAGCAAATCACCAAGTTTCTTTAATACTTCAACTGGCTTTTTATAATGTAGTTATCACAAAGTTTCACCATTTCCTTTTGACAGCCAATTATTGGTATCATCTAGGGATACTGTGCCTGACTCAGTAACAGTCAAGAAGGTTTGAATAAATTACTTTGAAATAGGCTTTCTGAACTACTTACTTTTTGAGTCATACTTAACAATATTTTCACTAGTAAGTTGTTTCTCAATTTCTTTTCCAAAAGAGATGCTTGCATATTGTAAAGCTGAGATATCTTGGCTTGCTTTAAGCCAGTTAGACTGGATACTGGCAGCAATTTTAACAAGGCAATGTGGAATGCCAGAATTAATGCACAACATGCACGGTACGACTACATGGATGAGAGGTATAAGTGAAACTCAGGCTATACAATAAGAGGATTTTTAGCATTTGCTCAAATAGCATTTTGAGTCACCTTTAAGTAGTACTGAGAAAAGATAAGCTTTAATAGGACTGAAATCCATAGAGCTTTCTAGAAATTATAAAACCCCCAACTTTTACAAGTTAACTGGGAATGAGATTAGCCAACCATCAAAGACTTAAACCATACTCCATGAAGACTAGATTAGAGATTAAGTTCTACAGAAGATGAAGCATTGTATTAAAGTCTTGAGCTCTTCTCTACAGAGAACTGTCACAGATCAAAATGCTTCTTTTACAATTAAAGCAAATGATGAAACAAAAGGAAAAAAAACAGTCTTACTTTCTTGAATCCATAAAGCCCACTGAGTTTATTGTCCCTTCTGGCTTTTTCCATCCAATCAGATACTTGCTAGTAGCACCCTGGCGAGGGTAGAAAGTCCTAGGACCAGACGAGGAGGAAGAGGAGGAGGAGAAAGAAGGTGCGAGCTGGGGAGAAGTAGCAGAATGAAGCTCTTCTTTAGGTGAGCTTCTGGCACTGGTGAAAACAACAGGGCTGGCAGAGTGTCGTGAGCTCATGGTACTAGGAGAAGAACATAAAGACAAAAACTGCCTCAAATGTGTGTATACAGACCTTGTTAAATTGATTTTAGAGCAGAACTCTGGGCACAAGATGTTATTCTTATCAACAGCAGATAGAGTAGCAAAACCAGTTTGCTCTCTTAAGGGTCTTCCACCAATGTGCCATTAAAAACACCTCTCATAGTAATGGAAAAATTTTGCAAGCAACCTCTAAGGATACAATACAACCACTCTTCACAAAATGGTAAACTGCCATTAGGCAGTTTAAAAGTAAAAAAATGAGATTTTAGTTGAATTAGCAAAACAGAACTGAAGTCCAAATTCTTCCTGGAATTCCTGGCTTTAAAAGAAAACATATTTTGAAGGAACTTAAGCAACAAGAAACATCTCTTTAAGACTCCAAAACAAACTAAAGAAGAAACTAACACAGGTCTCAAAATAGGGCTTTCTGAATTTCATCTGAAAAGCATTTATTTAGCATTTGCAAGGGAAAAAAAAAAACAAACAAAAAGCAAAAACTTAAATTAAGAAGTTTGAGTAGGTCTCTAACATATATCACCATTTGTCAAGACAGAAAATGGAGCTGGGAAGACCAACTGCAGCTTGTTGGGAGAAGGAGAGGAGCTTTAGAAGGAAGATACTCTTTAGTTATGCAAATGCTCAAATCTGATGGAACTTGCTTCCTATCAGGAGTGCTATGCCTTAGACAATATTTACTGTAACAACCTTAAAAGATCAGTCATCTATAAGCACAATAACAGGAAATCACTGTGTACAGCTTTAATATTGAAATAGCATTATATATCTGGAGACCAGTTTTCTACCAGCTCTCTACACAACTTAGCCACATTTTCATCCCTGGATCCAACACTGCAGTGAAGGAACTTGAAACAGATGGCCCCATGGTAAAGAACAGTTTCTGACTGAGAAATAAAAATTAGTTGGAAGGCTAAATAAAGTCACTGAATAATCTCTTCTTCCTTTGCACAGCAGAAAATTCTTCATCAATCTTTTCATAACTTAATAAAACAATGCATTTTCACATCTATCCCTCTTAGTGAAACAGAGAAAAAGAACTTAAGGTGAAATTTATGTTGCCACCTGGGAAAATAATACCACCTACATTTAGTCTTAAGCAGTCAGTTATCAAATCTATGCCACTTGTCTGGCTCCTGCTGTAGCAGTCAATGAAGAACTATCCCAAGGAGGTAGTTCTACTTGTCTTAAATTAGATATCTCAGATATGCAGGGAGAATTAATGCTTTGGAGTTTCTTCTCTCTCTTCGTTGACAACAGATGGAGTCAAAAGAATCACCCTGAAATCTGTTTCATTTTCATGTGGCTCAAGTTAAGCACCACAATTCCCAGCACTGAAGTGCTGTGGGCTCAATGAACAGCCTGAGTGGACTGCAGCTTCCTACTGCAGCCCAGGGGCATCACACCAGGGGCAAGATGCACCTCTCCATTTGCATACCAATTAAATTACAATAATACAGATTTTGTATTAAAGACTTATATTTCTTCCTTCCCTCCATCTCTACATTTGAAAGGTCTGTAAAAAAGACAACAGAAGGAGAAAACACAGGAAGATATTTTCCTGTCCATCAATCCCATATATTTGGTGCTGCACAGCACAACCTTCATATTTGTAACAGATAAAAGGCAAGCATAATTTATAGCAAGAAAGCAGAGAAAATTAAGGGCTAGGGGAATAGGCAGTACATTTTTCTTCATTCCCCCTTTGTCTCTTCCAACACTGAAAAAAATCTCCTACACATGCGGAGTAAACCAACCCATCTGTAAGGTATCACTACCACAGCATAAAATGCCGTTTTTATCTCCTCCTAAATACACTCAAGAAGCAGAAAAGTCTGCTTCAGTGCAGGGAAAAAGGAGAAAGGAATCTCTGTCCACATTTCAGAATTCTTCAACCCATCAGGTATTTCTCAAGGAAGTGCTGGTTGTGACAAATAGTTTGTTAATAAAAACAAATAAAAATAAATATCCAGCTCCTGGATAGGCTACTGGTGTTGATCCTTAATGTTACTGGGGAAAGAAGGCAACAATTATGTTAATTATGCGTGACATAAAATTTATATAAGATGCATATGTATGTATAATATTCATTATATAACATACTATAAATACATATTGTGCATTTTAGGTATTATTATTTGAATATTTATTATAATATGCATAATATAATAGGCGCCAAGAGCAGCCTGGTAAATGCTAGTAAAATTAGCATACAATTTAAAATACGGTTTTCTTTAAGGGGAATTGCATATTTTGAGGTGTGGTTTTTACAATATAGTATTTTTGGGAGGATATTCTGCTTCCAGACTATGCACAGAACTCTGAATATGACTGAAGCTTTTCACCCTATCAGTAAACACAGGCAGGCCAACAGGACACTGACAGGCAAAGAGACACAATTGTTAAATGAGGGCACATCTGGAGAGCAAAAGGCTTTGGATATACTCTACAAAAACTAAATCAGAGCTCGAGCACTATGGTAGTGATGGAAAGTTATTAGGATATTTGACACCAGGAAGCATGCAGAGAATTCATCATACTGCAACAGATACCTAGACCAGCTTAGTTTTATCTGGAAGAGAATCAGTCCTCTTTTCTCAGGACACAGAGATGGTCACTATTGGTCCCCTATCTCCCACCTCAATTATTGAGACACCAAGGACTGAATTACAAAACATTCAAATACTACATGACTGTCTGCAAGAATTTCAGATGAGCCATTCATAAAAGCACTCCACAATAAATAATATTTCAAGTACCTTAAAATAATCAGAATTGATGAAAAATGTACTTGATTACAAATAGCCAAGACTATCCTTTTAATTTTTGGTAAGAAGACCATAAGAAGCTGCTGTATAGCTTGGGTAGAAATTAAAGTTTGATTTAATTTTTTTTGGTAAGGAATTCATGCCATCAGCACATACTGCTTCATTTAATGACATTCAGCTATAATGACTCCGTATAATTACTGGCCTACATAATGCAGTTCTCCTGGGATGCGATGAGAAATCTGCACAATCATCAGGAAGGACTTTGGGAATGGGGGTGGAAAAGAAAAATAAAACCCAGCCAGAAGCTCTGCTATAAAAGTTAATCACTATAATTTACATTTTGCCACCAGTTCTCAGGTACAAGTTCTTTTATGCACCATTAAATGATCTGAGCAGTAATTATCACCCTTGTCTTCTACAGACACAAACACTCTAATTTGTAGTTATTTTCTTTTCTTTTGTCACAGAGATCTTTTTAGGACCATATTCCTTTTCTTCTTGCTCAGAAACCTAATTTTAAAGACATTCCAGACATTATGGCATCCACAGGCAAAAGATAAAAAAGTGAGAAGCAACAAAGGAGAGCAATTTAGAAGCTGATAGAGAAACACACCAATTAAGTTGTTCATTTCTCATGAAAAGTATCCTGTTCAGAATCTTTCTTTCGTCTCCCCTCCTTCATCTCCTTGAACCAGGCATCTTCATGATAATCTCCATAATCTGTGCTTGTCTTTTGGAAGTACCACTTTAACCAGCTTCCAGCTCCAAGCTTTTGTGCCTCCACAGAGGAAGCAATGAGAAAGGAGCTGGGAGCAAACAGCTGGATGACCTAAGGTTCCACTGCTGTTCGGTGTGCAACCACCATCCGAGGATGCCACAAGAAACCAAATCCAAGCTTTTTATCCCAGACTGTGCCTTTGTTTGACTGTGAGGCATCAAACACATGCTCTAGTCTTCAAAAATAAGAAGTAATAAAGAAGGAATGTGAGTCAATCTGTTTATAATCTGCCACAATAAAGGATGTATGTGCAAGTATTTCTGATTTCTCAAGTATCATGCCCCACGTGTTGTACAAACTGCTACTACGCCTTTTTACAAAGAGCTGCATTATTAACATCTCAGGTTTAAATGAAACTTGGCCAAAAGAAACCTCAACTGTTTTCTCCAGAATAAAGCCCAGGAAACCTTTATCTGGAAATTTCAGTGACAGCCCCAAAATGACAAGGAGAATAATTTCAATACAATCAGAAAAACATTATATTAATTAATCCACACCAACTAGAGAAAACACCGTGTTTGGAGACACGATGTTATAATATAATAAATAACGAGACAACAACCTAGACACGGGCTTGCAGTCATGTTGCAAAGTATATTCATGGAAGAAGAGAACTGTCATGGTGTGCCTGCCCTGCAAAGTGTTTCTTTCTATTACATTTTCTCAGCTTTTCTAGGGAACTAACCCTATTTGGTGCTGAAGAAGAAACCAGAACCTCAGTTATACAAAGACACCGTTCCATTAGGCTTTAAAATAAAGCTTCCAAGACTTACATAAATTTTCCAGGGTTCTTTTAGTGGCTTCAGAAAAAATCCTTCCAAAATGACAATGCTATTAACTTTATTGTAAGCAGCATTTTGTACAATAATCTCAACACTTGACGTCACTTCCTATTACATTCAGTGTAGTAGTGCAGGACGTGGTGAATTCTACTGAATGTTAAAAAATGCACATAAAACATGCTTATCTTAAAATAAAAGTGTAACACTGCAGACAAACATCATATAGATTTTTTAACTTCAAGAAAGGGGAACACACTAACATGCCACAAATCTAAGTAAGTCCTGCTGCAGTGTGTTTTATCCAGACTTCCTCAAGTCCTTCATGCATACGCAGCTACTGGAAACACACCAGTCTCAAACACCTGGGTGGGATATCTATTGAGCGTGAGCTTTGGTGCCAAAAATGGCCAATGAAGAGAGGCAGTAAACCAGAGTGGCAACACAATTAATGGATTACTTAGTCAGAATTACCATGACAAAGTACATGGAGACCATTACAGTCTCAATGACAAACCCTTATTTGCAGCTACTGTATGGGGAGTTAGTGAACTGTTCTCAAACATCTAGTCTTGCACAGTGGCTTTGTTCAAGACAATTACCAGAAATTGGTTTGGACTTCCAGTCTGCAGGTATTTTTGCTACACACTCAAAACAGAGATACCTTAAGAATAAAAATGCAACAGTCAAGCTCCACAAGGCAAATTATGATGATCCCACATCCTCCCTTGAAAGACCTATGTTTTTTTGTTGCTAGTATGACAGAGTATTTTTTTAAAAGCACACTGAATACTTCTTGGAAAATGGGTTAGGAAAATGGTCTAAAATGTTTTCTGCTTCTGGCAGCACCAATTGCCTTGTAAAGTGGATATCTTCCATTTGAGGTGTTTAAGCACATTACAAACGTACTTGATATTGCTGATTTTACAAGTGGCAAAACTGAGGGAGAGAGGGAAGGTGACTCTGACCTGTCATACCCACAAGCTTGCAGCAGAATGAGATTAAGATCTACATGCTAGCACTCCCAAACAAATTGCTCTCATTATTGATCATACCAACTGCGAGCAGATTTCCAAACACAAAGACGGAGGGAAAGAAATGCAAAACATCTGAAATGAGTACTTGCAAGACTAAGAACAAACCCAATATTAAACTGTTCATTAATAACATGGACAGATCTCCTACGTGATCCACACATGAACTACAGTAGTTACAAGATATTCCCCATGAACACATCAGACATGTCTGTCTTACGGATAGTTCAGTAGCAGCAGTTTATTACAGAATGTGCTCTTGAAGACTTTTAGTACTATAAGGAGTAGCAGATGTGAAGACTAAAGGTGGTCTTAATTTTCAAATATTCTGCACAGTGAAATCTTTCAAAACACTGATTAACGTATGCAGAACTTAGTGAGAACTTCTCACTTTTGAAAGGTTAGAGAGTGGGAATGGGAAAATGCCGGGGGGGCAATCATACAAGAGGTGAAAATTACCTTGTATGTGAGACAGCATCACTTAAACTGTAAGCACTGTTCTCCCTTGTGAGAGGGTTGGAGGCTGGCTGATTCTTGCTGTGAATATCCAGGCTGAGCGAAGATTCCGCTTTCCGGTCCATGTGGCTGTCCTTTTCTAATGTCCTGTCTGCAATGGAGACCACTTCGCTGGAGCTGTGCCACAGCGGGGCCACCTTCTCCTTGGTGAGCCCTGTGCGGGGCGACGTGGCAGCGCCCAGGGAGGCGGTGCTGCCGTGGCTGGGTCCGTAGGAAGTGGTGTCTATGCCGCTGTCCGCTGACGTCCCCTGAATGTAGTTGTAGCTGTTCAGCTCCGACTCCGTGCGCTCTCCGCTGTCATACCACTTCTCATCGCTGTGAGCACTGGAGGCATTGCTGGAGAGAGTATTGCTGCTGGAATGGCTGGAATAGTGGCTGTCAGACTACAGAAGAAACGACAAAATTATGACAATGGAGAAGAGGAAATAAAGGGTTACAAATGCCACCACTGTACAGAGCTCTCCTAGCTGGAGATATTGAATAAATACATTGAAGAGACTAATAAACTCTAAAAATTGGATTCCAACACAATCCACATCCTCTGTGCTGGGTGCACATAAAAAACCTTTTCTTATGGATTTGGAAAGCAGGGAAAGCCTGAGTCCATTATATTTTCTCCCAAAATACCTTGCAGTGGTTCCTTTCAAGCACAGTTCTGCTCAGCCCAGTCCAATGAAATTGGCTGAACTGGTTTATAACTCATAAATTGACTTTGACTTGGTTTATAACTACAATAATTAAAAATACTCTAACTTTAAGACTGCAATGTTTTATATCATGAAACATAACCAATTCACAGAAAGTGAATGCTATTTTAGTAATCCAATTGCCTATCAAAAAGTCAAAGAAGAGCATAGCCACTTCTCTTCCTCCTCTTGGCAGTAGGGTGCCTTTCCTCCTCAGCAGGAATGTCCTTTGCAAATGACCAGTGAACCAACATTTAACTAATGTGAAATTGTTTTCCAAAAAGCAGAGCTGCATGAAAAGAAGCTTTAAAGTAATGCTTTTAAATTATCCCATCAGGTCATGTCAGTGCCTGGCTGGTTTGTATGTCCTGTCCTTGGTTGCAGCCCACTATTATAAAGAAACTGAGTGTCCTTAATTTCATAGTGGCGGAATACCCCATTTCCAGAAGAATTTCTTGTCATACACTTACTGCTCAGTAGCTCACCTACCTTTGGGGTATTTATATCCATTTGAATTCTACTGAACTTATCTAAGTTCTGATTATCTACAGAATCAGAAATTAAGTAGTAGGCAATAGACCTGCTGGAGGACCACACAGCCTAGGAAAACAGGAATTGATGGAAAGGAGACTTAAAAGTTTTCTATTTGTCTACTCATTTTTCTGAACAGACATAGAGATCCTAGACAAATATAAAAAATAGATACTGCTTCTGTTTTCAGAAGGAAATGGGGAACAGATGCATACTGAGAACAAGGAATCTTCAGCATCCATGTCTTTATTTAATATAAAAAAAGAATTGACAGGAAAATGGGGGAATATGAAGTTGATCTGGACTCCTAGTTATCTCCAATTAAACTTACTTTTCTTCATTAAGAACTTCATCATTTGCCCATCCATCTGTCCACATAATAAAGATTTACTTTAACAATGACTAAACCACAATAATGCAAGCATTACTAATTCCAGTATTGCACTTGGCACTCAAGCTAATGAGTTATGTACTACATGACTATGCAGTCAAATACATCTCATGAAAAACAGGTCAATCTAAATTTAAAAACTAGTCTGTGCTTCTAAGAATACGAAGACAGGTGTGTTACTCTTTGGGTTTCTTTGGTGTTTTCTTCTTTAAATAATAAATGTGTTGCTATGAATTAATAATCTAAAAGCAACACCGCCAATTTCAATGAAAGAATAATGGTGGCAAGCAGGAGCAAATTAAAGACTTGGAACCAATTAAAGGCTTACACACATCTAAATAAATGCAAGTAATACTTGCAGTAACATCATGCAAGACAACTCTGTATTTTAGCTTGCTATACAAATAAAAAAAAGTAATATAGCTTACTGAGTAATTTAAAGCTTAAAGTGTACTTCTTTTATTACAGTGACTTCAATAATTTTCAATACATTTTAAATTTATGAACGTCACTCTATTTATCTATCTCTCTTTATACAAATTGGGAAGTGACAGTCTCCACAAAGGTATGAAAAGTTAACTCTGCAGAGACAGGCAGAATTTACTATTTAGAACTTCAAAACAAATAAATCAAGTAAGTTTTTTTCAGCAGGATTCCAGGAGACAGACTTCCAACAGTGCACAAGCTATGTTATGAAAAAGGAGAAAATACAAACCCAAATCACCATTCTGTCTCAAAGCAGCAGCTTTCTGGCCATTGCATTAGAAGATACACTGGTTAAACTAAGTCTTACATGTGAAGTCTAGGAATAGCTTTGCAAATTTCTACTAATCCTTTACTTCTCACAAGATAACAGACAAGAGGTTGCTGTTCAACTGGCAGCAAATCTTTATTAACTAGTCAATATTTCAGTACACTGTGCTGTAGGATTTAGGCACCAACAGGCCTGCTCTGCTGCATTCTCCACGTTCTAGTAGGGAACTGGATTTTTTTTTCTTTCTTTTTTTAAAATTGACACTCTAAATATAACTTTGAACAACACTTTGATATCAAGAGCTTGTGGAGCAAAAGTAAAACATTAAATAATTCCTTTTTTTGGATAACTTACATGACCCTGCTTATTTGGAGACAAGTGTACCACGGGATCCTGTCTCATCAGTCTTCCACTGGGGCTCTCTCGGAAGGATGGCAATACTTTTGAGACTGCTGGGAGATGGCACGTTGGCTCTGCAACACAGCACACACCCGTGGACTGAGAGAGCAGTGCTACAAGCTAAGAAAATGTCTAACCTTGTTTTACACTGCACTTCTTCCAACACTACCTTAGCCAAAACCAGGGACATATTGTGATAGAACACAGAAGAGGAAGTAAGGGCCCATTCCTGCCTGGTGTAAATCATTAAGGCTTCAGGAAAAACCAGCTGCCACCATTCTGACTTTTGTTAGAACAACCTGAACGGTATCATGTCCCCACTGTCCAACAGCACTGTATCAGAGCATTTAAACAGCAGACTGTTCCCTTTCACAGGGTATTGACAGTGGATCTCTAAATGCCTGATACCTGCTGACAAGGGATTTAAAAGACTCAACACCCACATTTCCTCAGTTGGCATTCTATGCAAGGCAGGACAATAGCAAGTATACAGCAATCACTTAAAGGAATCCATTTTCCCCAGTACAACTACTACACATATTTCTTACCAAAGCTGAGTTAAATAAACGTTTTCTAATTTAAGAGAGTGCAAAAGAAAAAAAAAAAAATCTCTTGACATAATACTATCTTAAACACTTCTGGCTGTGAATGTGGAAACTGCATAGATGTACAAAAGGAATACTTACTAAACTAAACCTGACAAAAGTGAATGGAAGTCAAATCACTCATCTTACATGAACATTCAGAGGAATGCACTTTGCCAATAAAACTTATTTTCCCAGGAGATAACTGTGAAGGTCTAGAGGGCGTTCAGACACAGCCTGTTAGGTAGGTAATTGCCTTCTCAGAGCCCAAGGTCAGTATTTTAAAAGAATCTCTCCCAGTTATGAGTTTTTTACATATACTTCTACATATATTGTTCGCTTCTAAAAATGCTCCTTTTAAGTAGAATACGTGCTGACAAATATCAAGTACTTAACAATATCCATTGTAAATAGCAGTGTTTTCTCCACCACAGCTGCAGTTTGTTCATCTTGATCTGCAGCATCATGAGCTTTTTAAAAAACAAATAAAAGCTGTGAGTTTTTTTAACTAATAATAATCATAATACCAGTAATAATATCATCATCAAATTTGATTTCCCCTGGCCAGTGGTAACCAGTGTTGGTCAACACAGAACAAAGGTGTTCTGTAGCAAAGGATAGGCCAGGAAGGTGTCAGTGTGTGGATTCACTACACCTAAAGCCTTATTTACCTCGAGACAGATGACCTCAAGTGGAAATGTACTTATTTGTCAAAAACTAAACTTTGACCTACATTCACCAGACTGACAATAAAGTCTCTGACCAGAGATGCAGCTTCCAATTCTATGAATGCAGGACAATACACAAGAGATAAAATACAGGGATTTCATGTCACTGTGCATTTCTCATCCTTTTCCAAATGCTGGAGTCATCTCTCCTACCCTGCAATTTTTCCTGTTCTTTCTGGCTTTATTTATTTTGCTAGTATGTTGACACCTGACACTGTAGAACAGAACTTGTTGGCAGCTCCATTCCGTGCCAGCACCAACACCCAACTGTTGGCCTGCAAAAGTAATGCTGAGCAAAAGATCATTTTTACATGTGCCATTACCATCACACAGCTTCAAAACACATGTGATTAAAATTGTTCTATCAAAACGAGAACTGCAGATTAGTATAATCACATTTTTTTACAGAGAAGTATGGGGGAAGTTGTGAGGGAGAGACTGACAGATGGCTTTGATAACAAGGCACAGCTTACTGAGGTTGTGAAGGTGTGTGAACCAAGAACATGTTCAGAACCAGAGGCTGGCAGCATATGCCTTAAATTCCTCATGTCACTGAAGTGTATTCTCCCTTGAACATTAGTCCATTTCTACAGTGATGCAGTAAAGTGATGCAATATCAAAGTATGGAATTGTTTAATCTAGGGTAAAAAAAATTAGAGAAACACAATCTAGCAACCTTGGCCAGGGTCATCATGTTGGAAAACTGCTGTTTATAGATAGGACATTTTCACTGGTGTCAGTCTTACTGGTATTCCTTTCAAGTCAAGCCATAGCTGTAGCAAAAGGTCTATGTGCAAGAGCTTCAAACGAAGGCCTAACAATATAAATTATCAGTTCCTAGCTGTTTCATGTAGTTAACGTGTTCCCTCAGCTGACAGCTTAATTGCCACGTGCAATGAAAATGTATACATTTGTGGAAGGTGATTACCTACTTATAGATTTACTTTGCTATTCAAACTTTAATTGCATTTCTTCCATTTTATACATGGTGTTTTTATAGCTTCAATGATCAAACAATCAATTTGCATATATATAGCACCATATGAAAAGGAAGCATCTCAAGCACTTTAGCCAACTAAGGAAAAATTGAACTAAGCCAAGCCACTCAGGAGAGCAGGTAAGGTCAAACAAGTCCTCAGCAGCAAGACAAATTAATAAGTGTGTCTGCCCAGCTGCTTCTAAAAGGACAGAATGTTTCAGAGTAAGAGCATTAAGGCAGATTTAATCCCACAATCAAATAAGGAAATGAAATCAGTTCTTCCTCAGGTGATACTCCCAGGTCTCAAGGAAGCAGACTGCAGATGCTTCAGTGCATTCTCCAGACCTAATTATTCATCCCAATGAGCAAGGCTAACTTTGAAAGCCGCTGAAAACACTGTGCTTAAGAGGGTTCTGTGCCAGGAGAGGCAGGGCCAAGGTCACCCTGAGGCGCGAGCAGAGCTCCGTACGTACCCAGCTGGTCAGCGATGCTGTCCTCGCTCCTCTGCCAGCTGGGCGTGGACTTGCCGCTGCCGCCCGTGTCCGACTGCGTGTTCTGCCTGTCAATGGAAGCGGGGGATCTGCGGCTAATTCCAAACCTGTTCTCCCCAAACACAAAGGAGATAAGCATTTTAAATATACATAAACCTCACACAAGGGGAAAAAGGGAAAAAAAGGACTTATAAGAAGCCAATGTCAAACAGCAGGGCAAACCAACACATAGAAAAATGCTTGAGGGATTTATAATGCTTTGCCATTTCATTTCTGTGGTACGTCTCCAGTCCCCTTTCCCAGCCTTAACGCATACGATTACAATATACATTAATTTATTGAGCATCCTTGGGCAAGAACAACTGGTTACAATGCTACAATTGAAAAAAAACAAGATCAAAACATCAAGAAAGAAAATTGTGAGTTTTTATTTACACAGATGTTTACATGAAAAGGTGACCAGACTGTTACATGGTAGTAGAAAACTCAACACAGTGAGTAAAATGTATAAGTTTGGATAAAAAGCACACAGGAAAATTAGGTGTGTTTATTGGGAAAAGATCAGATCCTTTCAACTACCTCAAAGCACTACCTCAACTAGTCAAAGAAAGCATCAGCTCAGCCACTTCCCTGGTTTCCGACCAAGAGAGTCATACCTCTGGGTGATGCAGACATATATGCCAACAACATGGATTTGTTTGGGACAATATTAACACTGCCAAATATTTTATATAAGCCTCTATAAAGCTGACTGTTGAACATGGATTCCCAAATCCTGGGGTTTTATAAGTCCTGTCAATTCTTAAGTTATTTGATCATGAAATTATTTGAGCGGATTAGTGCAAACTAAATATAGCTGTGAGAAAGTAGTGAGACATACGCCTCTTGCTGTAAAAGAAAGCATACAGAGCAAAATGAAAACTCTGTTCAATGGACTTTGTAAATCCTGTCAGAATAGGCAGATGGATTTCAGAAAAATCAATAAAGACAGAGTAAACTCAATGAGATCAAAGTAATGACAAAAGAGACACACAGTGCCCATGTGCCACATTGAGCCTACACACCTCATATGCCTAAAAGCCTGTAAGACTTGAAATCTACAGTTCTGTATTACATATAAATCACTTAAAAGTCTGCAAGAGTTATAGTTGGGTTCAGAAATAGCAGATCAATCATTAAGAATTCATAAAGAATAATGCATTCCTGAGATTTTTATTTTAATCAGATATGCCTTGAAGGAAAAAGAAAATCCTTTAACTCTACATGCACAGAATAACACACAAAATAATTACAAGCTGATATATCATCTCTATATCAATGAGTTTCACTGTCTGTAATGTCTAATAAAATGAGAGAAAATAAAATAGCCCAGCTGTGCTGTCTCCATGAGCTACAGACTGCCCCACACAACCTCCAACGTAAGACACCTTCCCAGCTGTCAGAACAAGCTCAATGCGATTATCCCACTTGAAGTTCACACACTTGATTGACTCAAATGAACCCACCACAGCAACATTATATGGCTCAGAAGAAGAAAAAATCCCACTCCCATCCTCAAAGACAAGCAGCTAGAACATGCTTGTAATGTGCAGCACATATTGAAATTTCAGCCTTCTAAAAATTCACCCAAACGTGATCACACTTCCCTTTTGTTCACTGCTCCCTGATACAGCCAGCATACATTTTGATTAATTAAAAAAGTAAGGAAAACCTGTATATGTCTGCCTTCTGAATATGAACAATTTACATTAAAATTATGCAAAAAGTAACATTTTCCCTTTCCTATTCACACAGACAAAGTAGGATTTCTCTTATCGAGTACCTAAATTAAACATGATGATTTCAATACCAATTCAAGATATGTATAAAAAGTCTAAACACAGAATTTCAAAAGCAACTGATTTCTTAAATACTGACCTGTGGTCTAACTTTTAAGGTTTGTAAACAAACTCTCATGGGAAGAATATATTTTCATGATAAAATAACTAGAAGCTGGCAGCTAAAAGAAAAAGATAAACCCCAAACAAATCTAGGTACAATGAAGTTGCACTGCATCAATATTCTGCTTTCACTTGTGATGGCCTCTTACCTAACCTCCGTTATGTTAATATGCATTTGGCTATGTATAATTAAATTTTACTTTCTACAATAACTTATTGTCAATGCAATAGCAAACACACAAACACAGCATAAGTGTACAGAACACACATATACACATCAAGATCAATCTGATTATTCCTGAAGGCAGTGAAGTTTTTGCCCAAACCCAGTTTAGGATATGGATCAATAATCTAGAGGCAGCAATTACTGCTTGTATCAATATCTGATGGAGGTTTGTGAAATTTAACTGACCATTTTTCTGGTCAGTTAAATTTCACAAACCTTCCAATTGTCACACTGCGTAAGAATAAATAAATGTATGCACAAATGGTGAGATTGAGATTTCCATCTCAGTGAGTGGTGTACCTAGAGCACACTGGAACTTCATCTCTGGAAGATTACCTTCAGGACAGGGCTCCCCCTTGGCCCTTACTGCAGCCCATCATTCTCTCCAACACCTTAGCAACCCAATGTTACAATTTCTCTCCCCTATTTTAACAACACATCCAGGTAATGCTGACCAGCCCTACCAGGGATACCAAACACAGCTGCAGAGCTGCCCTCAACTTGCTCTTTCAGGCCAATCTCAACAGAAGATGAACATGGAACTGGCTTTTAGTAAAGGGACAGACATTAAATTGCTTCTTGAGGCAAGGAAAACATTCCTTCACAAGCACATTTTTCATACTTTCCATTCCACCTTTACATGCTTACCATTTAGGCAGATGTTTGGGAAATCCTGAGTAAGTATGATTCGTGTGTACAAGGACAGTATGAGAGGCAAACTGCTCTTTTTATAGGAATAGAACATAATAGTAAAATAATTGGAGTTAAGAAATTGGGGTTTTTCTAAAGAGCATCCAATAAAGAACACGCAAAGTTCACGTATTAATTGCTTCTTTCAATTATTCCATTTAAACTGTGTTTCTTTGCATGGAATTAAAACTTCAACTCCAAAATGACAGTATAGTCAGGATTTCTAGGACACATCTCTTTGCTGAAATTTCAAAATGCTTGAAGAGTGCCGTAGTGAGCATATGTTTATAATTAACTTGAAAGATGGAAAAGGGTTGGGATGGGTGCTGGTGTGCTCTGAGGACAATTCGAAACAAACCTTCAAGTGTGTCTGAAAATCCTTTCTTACTCAAGCAGTTATGGTTGTGATGGTCTAAGGACATATGGCAGCAATACCTTTTGTGTAGTGCAAATGACATAGCTGGAAAAGAGCAGATGATAATGGGAGCACGAGCTACTCACCAGAATTCAAGGTAACACAGAAATGCTTCTGGTGTGTGTGAATGAGCCACAAAGTCTACAGAGTAAGTGCCTTTTCCAGCTGCAGAGCCCGGGATACACCTATCTCTCGTGTTTCCTCACAGCAAAGTTTAACAGGTTTAAGGGCAAATCTCCTGAAGTCAGTAGGACTTAAGCACAAACTTCAACAATGACCAGAACAGGCCTGCTAGTGTCATGAATCAAAGCCTTCATGAAGGTGAGCAGCAGAGAAGAGATTGACTCTTCACAAAACCTCAAACTGAGCTGCACAAAGGACAGGGGCGGACAAATCTTCAGTGCTGCAGAGCAAGAAAACTTTTTCAAACACATGCTCAGAAAAAGTGTTCTCTGGGCTGACACAGAGCACCTAGAGGCAAAAGACAGTGCCCTTGTACTAAGCAGTACAGGACAATGGCATTTAATCCTGCTAATAATATATTTTTTAAAAAAAAAAGGTATTTCTACTTTATAGAAGACCCAAACCAAAATGAATTACACACAATGACCTGCAAAGTGCTCAAGAATACATCAGAGGGAAGATTTGCAGTATGAACTATCAGCAGTTTTGCCCCTTCTTCTCCTCTATAGAAAGTAATTTGCAATGTAGTTGACAGATCTTCTGCTGCCAATTTTTTTTTTCCCTCTACTTGGAAATCTTTGATTTATTGGTCCTTTCCATGCTCTCTGAAAAAGATACAGATTTAATTTCTTCCTCTGCAAGTTGCCCCGTACATTGACACCTCAGAGAGTTTGAAGATTTCTGGAAAGCTGGAAGCCTTAAGACAGAATGACTGTGACTATGTGAAAAAGAAGCTAGCTGTGGATTAATTAGCACTTCTGTGCCTACACATCTTAGCTGCACTCAATACTACTTTGCTTCAACTATTAACTGACTGCAAAGTCCCAAACTTATTACTTCTTTTCTTTTAGAATCTAAACCTGTGAAAGGAAGCAATCTGCCACATGAAACCAGCACCTTTAATGAAGATTTTTAAATATATAAAAGTCCTTCTGTGTAGTAACCTGAACAGCTGTAGACTAGGATCAGAGAGAGTAGTTAGGCTGCAAGGTAAAAGTGGAAGCAAGGGATTTTTAAAACTGGCTTTTTCAAGAAGCATGACAGTGTTATTTGAAAACAGCCATGGTTTCATGTATGTAAACAACAGCTGACAGGAGCTTGTGTAAGCACTCCTTGAGCACACATTACAACAAATGGAACAGAGAACAAAAAATCTGCTGAAACAGAATATGTAAAAAGTCTGGTGCCTACCCTTCTGGCATAGATTTTTGTCTGTACGTGCCTCCAGTAGAGCCGGTGTCACTCGAGGAGGACAAGTTGCTTGGAGAGTTCCGGCACTGCTGCGACCTCGCTAAGGCGATGGAGGAGACGGTGACGTAGACATCGGAGCCAGGGGACAGCCTGTTCAGAGCAAGGGAAGCCTCACATCAGCAGGGTCACGCTGCAAGGCACACCCAACAACACCCTGCAAACTGCCACAGCAACGGCATCACGGAGACGGCAGAAATCCTATCAGCTGAATGGTCACACATTTCCCTCTTATTAATCTACTGGAAACCATGAAAATCAACTGCAAAACGCTGGATGCATGGAAAGAAATAAAGGCCAATGTGGGAAGAAAATTCTGGCACACACTAGGAAAACATTCTGGTTTCTAAAGTCTGTTGTTACAGATTGATTGTAAAGAATAACAAAACATGACATTCCTCATCAAAATACCAACTAGAAGAAAATATTCCTAATTCTTGTAACAAACTCTTGCCTAGAACTTAAACTAAATGTAGTGAGCTGCCTATGCAAACTCTTCCAAGAGTATCAAGCTTACCTCTATGCCACCAAACTTGTTCACATTAAAACACAAGGACTAAAAAAATGCACTGCAATCTATACATAGCACCCTAAAAATTAACATTCTAACACAAAACTATCTCATCAGATCAAGAACTCCGTTTGAAAATGCAGACCCGAGTCACATAAAGCCTTCACCTGTCAAAATAACCATACAGCAAATAAACAGTCTGGAACTGCAACACATGCAGCTGGGCAGTATGGCTGGAAGCAGCAGGCTCATACTGCCCAACTCATATCCTGTTCTGTAGTCAAAGGCTTTTTTAGATAACTGCTTTGTGCATTTTGTTTCCCAAACCCCAGCAGAACTCACTGCTGTTAGCTGGTTCTTTGTTCTACTCAGTCGTGACTGAAGCTATTCAAAACTTTTACAGTGGTTTGAGTGAAGTTTGAATTATGCCATTCACAAACATCAAACTCCTACTGAGAACAAAAGCCTTTATTAATTTTATCTAGGAAAACAGTAATTTGCACAAGCTAAATAATTTAATATTTGGAAAACAGATAATTACTTCAGTCATATAGACTGAAATAATGACTTCAGTCTACACAGTCTTATAGATAAATTGCCTCAGCACCCAGCTCAGGTCTTGGGCTTTAGAAGATCTTAGCCTGGCCATTTAATCTGTATCTCTAAAGGAGTGGCAGATTTTAAATTAGCTCTTACCACAATACTGTAAAAACTTGAAAAATTTAAAAAAATCTTTCGGAAATTAAAAACAATTATTGAACTGATTAACGGTCCTTATGTAAGCAAATATATTGAAACAGTGTGTGTATATATATTTATATTTACATTTATATCAAATGTGTATTGTCCTCCTAAGTATTTTGCAAGATAGTAGTAAACAAACAAAATCTAAAAATGGAAAGAGCAGTACGACTGGATCAAACATTTTCACCATCTGGAATTTCATGAAGTGCATATAACTAATAGTAACTCTTTTTCTGAGACAAAAAAAGGAATTATGTAAGGTCTGACCATGCTAAGTACTACACCAATTCCAGTAATGCCTTTCTAGTCTACCAAACACATTTTAACTTATCCCACATTTACCAAGCAACCATTCTGAAATATTTGCTTGCAAAGAACATGGTTGAAGACTTGAAAACTCGGAGACTCATAAGCCAAGCAGTTTATTTTCCCAGAAGCATCCCTCTAAAAAGAAGGAAAAATAGTTTGGCCACACAAAAATGCAGTTTCATTAGCATTCACTCACATATAAAGGTACACTCATTTAAACTCAGTTACACCTGCAGAGCAATATACAGTTTAAAATTATGACCTTTTTCCCCAATACTAAATTGGAATTGATGGCAAGGAAATCAATTACTTCTCAAATAATTTCTTTGAAATTTTTTGTGTTGAAAAATGCTGACATTTTCATTTCAGCTTCAGCTATGCCTTTTCTCTTCCTATGCCTTACCAAAAAGTGACAGCACTGTTCAGAAGGAACATCAAGATTTCAGAACTATGTCATAGAGTTCTAACTCATTTACAAAGAGGAAAGACCTTGAGGGCAAACAAAATTGTATTATAAATGTGGTCTGAACAAGAGAGATGAACAACCAGTCAGGTAGGACATTATTTTATTTAAAGCAGAAGTATATTTTTTTGTTAGTACAGTTCAAAATTGCACTAAAACACACTAATAGTATAAGACATTTCATTTTGTATGAAACATGTAAGAGAAAAGAATTTAAGAGCAAATTAGTTCAAACTGACTTTTTGAACTGCTTTGAAATCTTTTGATGAAAAGCACTTCCCAAGACAAAAGGTGTATTGTGTTGTGTTAGCAGTATGCCCCTATAGCTAAAATAATCTGAGCCTGTCTTTTGTTTATAATTAAAAACCACACTAAAGCAAGCTCTTATCTATTTCAAAAGAGTTTTAAAAAGAAATGCCAAAATGGTTAAGTGCATGAGTCCCACAATTGAATTTAAAAATAGGCCAAGCGTCCATTACATTAAACAGATACAATTACATTGAAGCCAATTGAACTGGGATTATCCCATGCATGATTTACTTCTAACAGATCTAGTTCATCCTGAAAGAACTGGTTGAGTCTTGCCAAGTATGGGAAGAACATCATCTTTTGTGCAAGCAGTGAGTGGAATGGGCATACATTTATTTTGTTTAATATGACCACACAGACATTGAAAGCATCCATCTTGCTCTTAATAAATTCATTTCCATGTCATTAGCTGTAATTTTCCCCACACATTCAGTGTGCATAGGTATGTAGTACACACATCAGAAGAAAGATGTCCGTCTAGGTCACTTTGTGCCTGTGGCCTAAGGCAGTCTAATTACAAGATCATACATAGGTGCCTTTTCCTGTAAAACTGTACAGGCACAGGGCCTGTACTGTGCTACAACTTCTCCTGCAAGAGCTGCAGAGCTCAGAATCAAAGGAGGCTCAGGCTGGTAGAAGAGGGAAAATGGCCTTACAGTCAGTGCTGACTTGGCAAACTGAATTCTTACTTTGCGCTTGCTGGAGCACTCTGATGTGACCACTACTGTATTTGTTAATGACAATTTTTCATTTGGTTTTGCTAATTTTAATTTTTCAAAGGCCTTCTTTGATTCCAAGTCCCATTATGTCTCTGAGCTGAGATCTTCCTAAAGCAGCTGAAGTCAACTGAGGCTATAATTTGAATATATAAAATATTAACAATGCTGGGCACACTTCTAAATATGAGATGGCCAAAATAAGCAGAATTAGAACATAATTTATCTTTCTACCTTTGTTCTTAATCTGAAGAGGACCAAAGACATCTCTTCTCACACAAGAATTTTGAAAACTAAGTTTAATTAATACCCATGAAGCATTCAGCAACTATAGTAATGGGTGCCACTGTAAAGCTTAGAGGGGAATTAGTAATGGCATCTTTACAACAGGATTTGAATGTCATCCAGTAAAAAAGGGACAGACCAATGAAGAGGAAAAAAAATTAAATAGCTCTTCTTTAATGAGCTGCATCCACTGTGTGAACTGAATGAGGCAGATGTCCTCTGTTACAAGAAATTCTTGTAATTTAATCAAAAGAAGCATCTGAATATACAGTTACTCAAGAGTTCTGAAAAAAACAGCACAGCACATCTTAATTCTGGCATGCTTGCCTTCCATGTATTTGAGTTTTACAATCCTAATAATACTGCAAGCCACAACAATTCCCAGCAAACACCATTTCAAATGCTCTCATGTTTAAAGGAAAACAATCCATACCATTCAAAAAGGAAAAAAACCCAGCCTTTTTGAGGAAGGGGATAGTGAGTGAAACAGAAAAGGTAATTATGTTGCCATGTTGTACCTTCTCAAGTTTTGGGGTTTTTTCAAGTAGATCATCACCTTTCAGAAAACATATTGTAACAAGAAAAGACACAGAGGCAGGCAGTGGGATATCAGATGTATAGGAGACACACTGAAAAGCTCTGTGGCTCCAGGGATTATACAGAAACATCCCCTCTGCTTCACTTCATCCAAACATGACTTACACTGGACCAAGCAAGTCCAGTGCTTACTCACTATCCCTCATGAGAAAAGAACAAGTAGGAGGTCCAGAACTACCAAGAGACCAATTAGCAGGAACCTGGATGAAGAGCCAGCAGCCACAGCAGTACAGGTGCACCCATCTCCCGGCAATCTTACGAGCACACAGCCAGGGGACTGTCAGACCTGGTGAAGAATCTTCCTTTACACTGGTAAGCATTTCTTATGCTTTTCCCTGGTCTCCATTGATGGCCCTTGTCAAACAAGAATGACCAATCCTGACAAGACACAGCATGGCTTTTCTCAGATGTTTTTACACTGCAAGAGTTTGGCTGCACAGGCATGCATACCAACAAACCTCTGGTTTTTCCACTGCTGCATCCAGCTCTAGGTCCCAGAGCTGGTAGGAAGCGTGTGGTATATAATCTCATGCTGGTACATGTTTTAATTTGAAGAATGTTATGAGAACATTTAAATAACAAATCTTCAAACCCCGTGAGGTAGGCACTGCGTGTACTACAATTCTGACTTGACAGGTAGCAAGATGAGCACAGACACCTGTTTGTTTATATTTGGAAAAATGTCACTGATCACAGCAGCAGATCAGGATTTTTAGGTAATATGGGAACAGCTTAAAATAGAATTTGCCTGCAGGAATTAACCTATAAACTACAACTAGCATAATTACTATCACTGACTACATGGGCATCATCCAAATAAGTATGGAGTCTTAGGGCAAGACTGTACTTCAAAGTCCTCAATATGACACAAAACCAATCAATGATATTATTCTAATACTTCCACACTGTGGAATTTTACTGCCACTGCGTGACTGCAGTCGTGCTGCAATTCAGTTTTCCATTTGGTTTAAAATATTGACTGTGCTCAGAAATTTTCTAGTTAAAAGCCTTGAGCTTTCATCCAACAGTACTCAACTGCAGACTGAAGTGCTCAAGTCCAGACTGGGGTCTTCAACATGCTTTCATCACTGATTTCCACACTTTTTCAAATGTCTGTCAAATCAAATTTTAGTTAAAACTGGTTTCAGCTTAATTGACAAATTAAGAATAGATAATTATGTACCATTATTTCCTCTCCTTTCCTTCCACATTGTCTCTTAATAGAATATGGAAACCAAGTGTACAAAAAACCTGAAAATTGGGAGGAGGGGGAAATAAATTTAAAAAATCAAGTGTTATAATTGCATGTTCTCCAAAAATATCAGCTCTGGTTTATTTCACACATATGTGGTTTATTGTTTTTTCCTTAACATTAGAGATTTATTTTAAGATTTAAAGTTCTGGGTTATTTTTCCTGTCTACAAATACCCACCCATATCAATAATGACTACATTCAAAGATCCAGATACTGTGAAGATCAGGGAAAATGAGCTAGTAGGTTGGATATATGAAGACAATCCAAAGAAGGCAAATTTAAGTACTCTGCTGGACTGGGCATTTGTCTGCCTTCTCAGAATGAGGATTGTCAAGCAACATGCTCTCCCACCTACAACAGCAGTGTCTATGGGGAGATGATGTTTGGAGAATTATGAAGTGAAATCCTCCTGTTCTCAAGATTGCTGATGCAGATTTTATGTATTTCTAACATACTTAAATGGACTTAAGGGAGCAAAGCACAGCAGAGCACCATCACTGCTGCCTGCACCAGAAACATGCAGACTTCAGCACCTCCTTCTCAGTGTTCTTTAGGGTAAATATGAAAACTAGTGGTGAAAAACTAAATGAGACAGCAGTTAACAGGGCTATGAGAAACCCACCTTGGTTGATTTTAAGACTTTACACAATAAGAAGCATCTGAGGTTACTAAAATGCAAAGCTTTCTTTTATCGTGTAGAGAAAAGACAAATGAGTCTTGCAGTAAGCTTATTGTTGAGGTTTTTCTCCTCCTGTATTTCTTTAAAATGAAAAAAAAAAAATTATTTCTTCACTTTAACTGGAAAGACATTAACCTTACGCAAATGATGATATATTTAAACTTGATTTATCCAAGACTAACATCTTTAGCAGACCAGAAAGATGACAGAAGACATTTTTCAAGCATCCAGAAAAATTCCCAGTGAAATTTAAAAGCTACTTTGATAATATACTTTCAAGGATCAAAAATCCAATAGAACCCTTTTTGAATAATAATAAAAAGAATACTTAAAAGAATGCCTAGAGGAGGAAAAAAAAAACCCTCAATCAAAAAAACCCACCAGCTATGTGCCCTGAAAATGAAGGAAATGAAAAGTCGACGTTTCACCTTTTGAAAACAAATACTGACTAAGAAAATGTAATTTTCAATTTGCAAACGTTTATCAAGCCATAACCCCCCTTTCTAGAAGCCTCCAGAGACTGGATAAATCTTGAATGCCTTAGGTATGTTGCCTGCATAGAACTTTATGCACAAGGAACACACAGTTGTTAATACCCCTTCTCCCAGGGCAGCCAAAGGCTCTCTCTTCAACACGAGCCAGCTCCAGACTGTAGCCAAGCTCTCTGGTTAACACAACAGGACAAGATGGAATTATCTGGAAAAACCAGCAACTCAGTGGAATCTGATAGTCTGTCACTGCCTTAAGCTTGTCCCAGGTACATAAGGAGATTGTTCAGCACTGGAGAGCAAAAAACACCACCAGCTCAGCTGCTCTTCCTTCCAGTTCAGCATGTGCTTGTCTTTACCTCTAAGAAGCAGATATACCTGTAGCCATGCAAATTTTATGTTGGTCCAAACAGATCATTCAAGAATCAAGTCCAGCATTTCAGTGGCTTCTGCAACCTTTTTTAAACAGACACTCCAGTCAGGTTGTCTGTGAAATTATTAGTGCCTTCAGTGTTGCATTTCTTTTTCCAGCTCCCACAGATGGGAGCTTTTTAAGTATATATTTAAGGAAAAGAAAGTAAGAATGTTAAGTCCTTAGCAACCACTGTAATTTCCTAACAAGGTATCCAACACAGAAGTTTCAATTTCACCTTGGTAGTTTCCTGGTCTTGGCTGTACCATCTTTGAACATGTTTTTCCATCCCCATTCTTCAGGACGTGAAAAAGATTTTAAGTTGTTTCATTGGAACTCTCTTACACCTTCTACAATATGCATCCTACTACCACTGCTTTATAATTTTCACCCACAAAGATGATCAAAACCTATCTAAACCTTTTTTCCCTAGGAATTGTCCAAAATAAGAAACACAAACTATTAACTTGCTTCCCTTCACAGATCTCATTGCAAATAGAGACAGATTTGTGTAGATAATCATACCAATGACAGTTCATTTGAATGCTATCAAATACATATTTTTTCATGAAAGAATAAAAATACTGTCACATGATGGATCTGATACCTTTATCCTAACAATTGCTTTCTTGTTTAAAGAATTTGAAACAACAAAAAACCCCAAACCACCCTGGAGAAATCCAAAATTAGAACAATTTCTCCTCTAGCCTAAAATGTCTGAACACTGAACACTCCCCAATCAGATAAAATTTCCTTTCTATACTAGTCAGAACTCTCTTGCTAAAAACCCTGTCAGATACTATTTTTGCTTTGGGTGCTTTAGGCAATTCTACCAAGCCTATGAACAAGATAAATTTTTGATTTACTTTTTCAAAATGCCGAAGTTCATGAACACATAGCTCTAAACTCTGACTGAAACTCATTTAAAACTTAAATAACAATACAGCAATTTCAGAATACCATCCAACACAGGGAAACATCCCAGCATAATTTTGTGGTTAATTGTGCCAGGAAAGGTTATTTCCTTTTGATTATTGTTTCACTCATGGTCATGCTGTCTTTTGACTAATTAAAACCAAGATTAAAAGCAGTCTTCAGATACTTAGATAAAACTCCTGTGAATTTTCCCAGGCAGACTCAGAGCAGCAATGAAAAACCATTTGTGAAGAAGACACGTACCTCCGGCTCTCCAACGGGCGCCCATCACTAGAGATGCTTCGGGGAATGTTGGCTCGTTCTGGGGGTGCCATTTTTCCTTCTCCTTTGCCAGAGCTAATCCTAGATGGTACTGGGCTTTGGATTTGAGATGGCACCTGAGCCACATGAGGTCCCTGCCCTTTGCCTGCATTTCGCTGCCATTTGTTATTATTTCTGAAGGGAAATTTGAATTCATACGACATTCCTTCATTCACTTTGTACTCCATCACTGGCATACGGTAGTTTTCTGAAGAACTCCTGGAAATGAAGAAATTAACATGCAGCTATAAAAAATAAAAACATGTGTCCTGGTCACAAGAAGAGAAATCTGAAGACAGAAGCTGAATAAATTCTATGAAAGCATGAGATTTTATTTTTAAGAAACATTTATTTAACAAATTTTAGAAGGCTCACACAAGAAAAAGGACTAGTGATGGTGAGAGTCTGTCTCTTCATCCTGGTGAGTGATGCACAACAGACTACTATGGACTCTACCTTGTTGGCCTTTCCCCTGATTCTCACACATTAACAACCCTGTTGTCACCATTACTGAGCCCTGACCCAATGCCTGTCCTTGTCTATCCCTCCAGAAGAGTTTACAGCCATCCAGTCCAGCCTTCCAGTTGGTCAAGCTGATACTCTCCATCTGATACTGGGCTAGAAAAGCTAAAAAGATATGAGAAGGTTATCTCCCCTTCTTTAATCCACGTGTTTTAGAACTTACCTGCACCCAGACAAATAAGACCTGAAATGCTTGTTCTTTTTGAGACACACCTTTCTGATGCACAGACATTAAACTACAAGAGTAATATTAATAAGGCACCATACATAACTTCCAAACACCTTTGGCTTTGGAGTATCTCAGTTGATAAACTTGCACATTATGAAAAGACTTGCTGGAAACTGTAGATGCCAAACCCTATAGATGCCCATTGCTTCCTGAGGAACAGCACAGCATAAAAATCTGACTAGAACAGGACATAAGCTAATGCGGTCCACATAAGAAGTAGGGCAAACTTCTGCATATATTTCAAATGAGGCACTTGGAAAAAAGATGTGATCTTCCGGTTCAGTAAGGACAATTTTGGCATTTCTCTTGACAAATCTGAGTGAATACTAAGTATGTTTTATCATTATTACTTTATCTACATACATCACTCTCTAATGCAAAGAAAAATAAAAAATCAGTGCAAAATTTTGAACCCACAGCTCTTCCTCTAAGCAATTAGACCATTAGGGGTGAGAAATATTAGTATATCTTCCCTGCAATAGACAAAAAACAAGACAGAACTTGTTATCTGGCCATGCTGACATAAGCAAGTTGTACAGTCCAATAGGAACAGACAAAGTGAAACAGTCAGTGCTGAGGTCTTGCTGCCTACAATATGCTCATTTTGTAGTTTTACGCTGGTCTACTCTCTAGTCTTAATGTCCAAATTAAATTATAATTTGGAAGGCATGAAATGTGCTTCCAAAGCACATGTAGGTCAGCTTCACCTGAAAGTCTCCCAGGCCACTGTGATGTGATCCACTGCATGCTAGACAGGGATGAGCAGGAAATAAGGCCACTCACAACTGAACTACGATATTGATAATTGATATCCTTTGTGGGTTTTTTTCTCTTCATATTTTTATGTCCCTGGTATTCTTTCCCAAGTGCTCATGTGCTTAGCTTGGTTTTCTCTTTTTCTTCCTGCAACATACTTACAGTTTAACAAGCAGGAATGCACAATCTCCTCTTAAGGCTGTGTCCTTAGATTCAAAGTCAGCAATCAGCCCACTAAATGAGCTCAGTGGCAATGTTTTAATAACCATGGTCTAGCAGAGACTTACCCATAACAAGGCCTGCCTCTGCACAGGGCATGAGAATGTAAATTGGAGTATTTGGATATATTTTTCCATCTCCTATTGACCTTGTACATATGCCTGTTGCCAAGTCAGCTTATCTAACTGCACCCCAACTTCATGCCAACCAATTTATTAGGACAGGGACTACTTCTCATATGAATGTAGTATTCCAAGCAGAACACATCTTCATTCCAAGCAGAACACATCTTCATTTTAGTTATGGTTTGCACAATTTACTGTAGTAGAAATACTCAATGACCTCCAGAGGACATAACGAAAGGACTCCAGTTGCAGAAAACCGATTGCCAAAAGAGAAACTGCTTTGTGCAAATACTTAACTGAAGTCACTAGTAATACATGTAGGATAGCTACAAATTCAAGACACAGTTCTTGAACTTCTATAATTTTGGATAGAGTAAATGGAGGGATCAAGAGCTGCTTTATGGAATTTTATAACTAGCAATAACCCACCATGAACATTTGCTCACTAGACAGCAACAACAAAACTTGGAGTATCTCACAAAGTGCAGTCATTTCTCTTACTGCTATGGGTTTAGATGCACTAAATGTAAGCCTGGTTTTGGCTGTACTTAATTTAGTTCAGAAATAATAGGATCTGTGCTTTCCACACTGATTTTTCTGCTCTAATCCTTTCATGATGATTGCAGCTGAACTTTCCATTTGCTTGGGCTGCTAAATATTGCACAAAAGCTTTCCAAATATCTCATGAGTGACCTTATGCCACTCGTCATTTTAATCCCTGACATGTATTCAATTTTCCACTGACAGCTAAAGGACAAAAAACTTCTTTTCTCTCTGCTCCTCTTTTGCTAGCATTTACGAAAGGAGTTCATGTTGCTTACAGTAAAAGCAAACATGGATTTTTCTTTTACACAAGTACCAGGTCCTCTGTCAGAGACACAATTTCATATAAATATAATAAATATGTGTTAAAGTTCAGCTCCAGTCTTAAGTACACAAAGATTTAGCAATTACACCTACAAAGATATAGACTGATTAAAAAAGAGCAGTGCAAAAACGCTTTCTCGCTCTCTCACTCCAAGGAGTCCTCTGAACTTTAGTAACCGTACTTGCTTCTTGGAAAACCTATCCTAAACCTTCAGCTAGCATGAGGGCAAATTTATTCTATTAAACACCATTCCATTTTAATCATATAGCAGCATTTCTAGGATACAAATACAGGATGTCAGGAATATGCAATTAAGACTTAGTGATGTGGCTGAAGGCTACAGAAAACACTGAGAATTCATAAAAATTATAAAAGCTTTAGTGTGAAATCAGGAAAAATGGAGGGACCTAATGTCCAGTTTAAGAAAAATGCACGTGTTACTGCTTGTTTCTGATGAAGCAACAGTTTTAAACTATAAAAACAGCAATAAAATTGACATGAGCTTCAGGCTTAATACAGATGGGAAGTGAGAGAGATGCAACAAGATCCATGGAGTAAAGAAGAATTTGCAGCAATTCCTCTGGCCAGATCCATACTTTTGAAAAAGCCTCATCATTTACAGCCTTACTTACTGTGAAAATAGAAGCATGTAAGTCTATTCCTAGCTCTCAAGAATTACATCCACACACATTACAAATTACCAGCAAATGGGAAAGCAGGCAGGAATGTGTCAACACATAATGATGACTAAAAAGTTGTTTGATGTCCATGTTCAATTCCATGGTTCCATGAACTTCTTCACATGTTGTTACATTTTAGTATTCAACAAATACTGGGGGGCATGGAGACTGAATATGGGCAGTTTTTCCTGCTCTCTTCTTCCAGCCTTAAAATACTGGATGCTGTATTATAATTACACCACTTTTTTTTGGAGGCTAATACTCTGTGGCGGTTCTTCCCACAAAACAAGACACAATTTCAGAGCAAAACACAGCGACTGTAAAATACCTGCGTGGCGTGCAGTCCTCGTAGGGAGGGACAATGACGACCTTGACGGTAACTGATGTCCTGAGCAGGTCGATCATTTGCTCGTGGCTCAGGGTGGCCACGGCCACCTTGCAGATCTCCACCAGGCGGCTGCCCTGGCGCAGCCCCGCCTGCCACGCGTACCCGTAGGGCTCCACGTCTGCCACGATGCCCTCGTAGTTCACGTGGAAACCCAGCTGGCCCAGGCCATTCCTGCGCAGAGTCATCTCCACGGTTTCACAGCCCTTGGTCACAAGCTGGGAATTGAAATGTAGATGGAATTTAATGCATTGAGACACCTCGGGGGCTAACAGAGGTTTAGGGGCTCAAGTTTTGAAGAACCAACTCTCAGGGATCATGGTGGGACACGATCAAGGGATATATATTGCAGTCCTAGGTACATAATCAGCTGAAAGGAGTCTTGTTGCTCAAACTAAGATTTTCAGTAGAATTTAGTTACTCAAGTTCTGCCTTGGAATTTTTACTGCAACCACAGGAATTTTAGAAGATACATGGCAGCACACAACAGAAAAACACATGGAGTTACACAAGCATCTCTGTCTTTTACACTTTAGTAACCAAAAAAACATTCTCCATTTCTGGTTGTTTCAGAAAACGGCAAAATTACTTTTCAGTCAGAAAGTGGTAGCATGCAGCTACTAAGCACAGTAAACTGGGGACTGTGCCAACTCTTCCATGTACCATGAGCATCAGTGTCATCAAGAGCAATCTAAAAGGGCCTGGATTTCCTTTTTTCCTGGTTGTTATACAACCACAGTTGTGAAATTACAGGAAAGAGAGTGAAATGTAGCACATTATTTCGTAACTTAATTGGATATAAAATGAGCATGGACAGATGCTTTATAGGGAGACACCATGATTCACTGCATTTTTAGTTTATCACATGCATTCAGAGTATATCTGAAGGCTGCAGTGAGGATTGGGACTGCACCCTGCTGGCACCATAAGTTAGTCTCAAAGATATTGCAGATTCATTTGAAACAAGATACAGCAAGTCTGTAAAACAGAGAAAGGGAAGGAAAACAACGAAAAGAAATAATGTGACACTTTTGTACTTGTTGTGTGGGAGCAACTTATGCATCTGAGGACCTGGTCTTTTTAATATATTAATATATTTTACACCCTCACACACACACACAGAGCCAGCTGAGACTAGTTGATACCTGATAAAAGTGAAAGCAATATTGAGTTTTGAGAAATAGAAGCAAGGTTGTCCTTATAAATGTCACAACAAAAAATGTAAATTGTTTTAGGAATCTCAGGTGTTATTTAAATTGAAGCTTTACTTGGCCAAGGGGTGAGAGAAGAAAGCAGAGAAGGGGAACCAAACAAGAGAACACATTCTAACCTCCAGCCTTTTGACGATCTCTTTGATGTCATCAATGTTGCTGATGAAGCTCTCCAAAGAAACACATTCACCTCTCTCATAGAATATTTTGATATTTGTGTCTGTTGAAGTCCACCCTATCACATCTCGACAGGAGCAATTGAACACCACACTTTTTGTGTCCTGTTCAATGAGGACTACAAACTCATTAGAGATGCCTAGGAGACAGTCTATTTCCATACCCTTGCTGTAGTCTTTTGCATGGACACTCCAGACAATAGCACCAGAACTATAGATCTCTGCTCCCGGATAAGGTTTGGACTTTTCCTTCTTTTTTGAAGCAAGTGAGATGAAGGGGAACTTGCCAGAAGGGTCAATGGGTGTGTTGGTGACATTCTTCTCTGCCAAGTCTTTCAAGTACTCCTGCCGGGTCCTGGTGGCCATCGCACGGAACTTTTCTGATTTATGAGCAGCATTCTCTGCATTAATGACTTTAGCTAGTAGGAAGTCCCTGAACACATTTGATTTAGGAAACGTCACACCTTTTGGAATAGGTGGGCCAAAGGATGGTACATCTCTGGATCTTGTCACAGCAACACTAAATGAAATAAAAGAATAAGAAACACAGTGTTTCACTCTAGGCAAATTCAGCAGTTTTTCCTTACAGACAATACATTCCCTCAAATTTTATTTTCTTTTCTCAGCAATATACCTAAATTTACATATTAATATTGCCATTGTGGAGGTTATGCCCCCTTTACTATATAAACAGAAAGCCACTTTTTTGCATATAAGCACTTTCGAGTCATTCCCAATCCCACAGCTTAAAAAGAGCTTCAAGTACAAAACTGTAGGGGGGCTTTTTTTGATAAGTAATCACTCATGTATGGCAGTTCTGAATTTTGTTTGGTTTTGGTATAAAAAGAAAATTTCTAACTCACACTATGAGAAAGGCTAGTTTAGAATGTAGCTACTTAACGCTGAAAGGCTCATCTGAAAGCAGTGCCAAATGTGTGATCAACACTAGAAGTATAGATTAAATGAACACATTAAAAAATAAAGGCAATGAAGTCATCTCACACAGCCAGTTCCACTGAGAAAATCATCTGGTGACTGAATGCATATATACATCACATTACTGTTTTACATTTCTGGACTGAAAAACTCACTAGCTGATATTGCATGCCAGTGATAGAAGACTACTCTGAAAATACCAAAATAAGAAACTTCTGAGAAGTTCAGAGATACACTGTAGAAACAGATAGATTCTTTTTCAGCCCTTCCTTTTAGTTCCTGCACCAAGCGACGGTCTGACAATAAGCTTGCCTTAGACAACAATGACCAACTTAGCTATTCTCAACTGTCAGTTCTCTTTTGATATAAATCAGATGAGAGTTGTTTGGAACCTCTGAAGATTTGACATTCCAATCCAGTATCATTCACTTGGCAAACTATCCTAAGAGACTAAAACTCTACTTCGATAGTGACAAGAAATGTTGCAACAGTTCAAACAGGATTGACCACATGTCTGTAACTAGATCTGAAAAAGGATTAACTAACTTTGGCCAGGATACCATGGTAATGGAAATAAAGAAGAATAGGATAAAACTTGACCACATTAGGAAAGTATGTGGTGTTTCCCTTAGAACACTGGCTGGTATTATTGCCACATTTTGATTTTATCTGAATTCTTAAACATAATCAGAGAAATTTCCCCAAAAAATCAGAAGCTAAGATTTCAGACTAAATCTTACGAGGGAGCATAGAGGAACACCAAAAATAAAAATTAAGTCACCCATCAACAACTGTATCCTTCTGGTTTTGAGTGGTAGGGTGTTTTGTTTGTTTGCTTGGCTTTTGCTGTTCTGAATTGCTTGGGGTGTTTTTTTCCTTTGGTTTTTTTTGTTTGTTTCTTAATTATTACATTTTTTCTGGCAACTGATATTGAAAGATGTCATTACTGTCATATTTCCTCCCAATGTATATCAGTATATCTCAAAGTATGCAACAGGGGGTGCTCATGAAGCAACTGACTCATCTCTAGTGGTTCTGAAGAGTCTGTTACTAACAAATGGAAGCCTAAGCGTTAAACACAACTACTGGATGCAATGAAAACCTACCAGACACTACCAGTAAGATTTTGTTTGGTTCAGTTTTCAGTGTCATGAATCACAGGGATAAGAATTCAATCTTTAACACATGCTAGAGAAGTTTTAAAAAGTGAGCAATGCTCAGAGATGCCAGACTTTTGAAATATTGTTTATCTTAGTTGGGAGAGAGAATCACTGGCCAAGACGGTGCTTGACTTTATTCCTTTTATGTAGTTTTTAAATATAAATTCCAGTACAATTTTATGCTATATGGTTTCCTGTTTTGTCTAGAATTATGAATCCATGAAACTGTTCCAAATAATTCAGTGAAAAAGAGGTCAAACTTACTTTGAAAAGTCTCCTAGAAAAACTTTTCATAATAGAATTCTACTAATTTAAATCAAGTGTTTGCACTGAGAGGACAGGAAAAAATAGTGTTTCAATATTAAAGACAGTTCAGAAAACATACAGCGTTCTGGTGGTCCTGTGTATCAAAATGAACACTGACATTCTCCCAACTATGTTTCATACTGTATCCCCTCCCCTTAAAATTTAAGCCTGTACCATCACTAAAGCCAAAATTACCATTAAGCAACCAATGAGGTTCCAGCCCTTATAGTTGTAAACACTTGAAAAATGAGGGGATTCAGGAGTCTGAAGGTCAAAAATAGAATCCTCAGATACTGGAATTTATTACAGTTTAGCAAGTATCAATTTCCCCCATGCCTTTTAAAAGGAAGAAAATATATGCAGTCATATTACTTAAAGTACAAGACAAAAGCAGATCTATGTTGTAATATGCAATTCAAGTGAAAGATGCATCTGCAGCCCTTGTGGATGCATTTCCTACATTCCCTTTGCTTCAAAATCACTTTCTGTACTGGGTAAGAGCTGAAACATATGTCTAAGAGTTTAAGGACAAGCTGTGTTCACATAAATTATGCAACAGTTGAATTTTTCAATAAGCAGCCTGAAAAAGAGTATCCACATGAACATTCTTAGTCCAGGAGAGTTAATACATATACAAAGTTCAGCATCAATTTTAGAAATGCTCTGTGAACTTTACCAAAAACTTCTGAGGAGAGAAAAGCCTTTAAGCCATCTATATGTACTTAAAAAATAAAGAATACACCAACTCATACACAGCAGTCTTAGATTTTCCTCTAAATAAGCACTTGCCTTAATCAAATACTTAAGTGAATATTTGTATTTCAGCAAAAACAAGTTAATTCTAAGGCTACCTCGTTTCAAGATACATTCTCTAAAGCCACTGGCCTGACATTTCATATTTTAAATGAAAATGCTTTATAGAGGTTTTCTGAGATGAATCAACATTTAAAAATGAAAATATTCTAAGAGTTCAGTATATAACAAAGGAAGAACTTTCACTGATAGTAAAAAAGCATAACTCAGAAGCATTTCTATATGCTTGCAATTTAGTTTAAAAAAATTATACTAATAGGAATATCATCTTGCAATTCTTTATTACATGTTACTATCAATTTCCATTTTCTATTTTAATCATATTGACTTTAAGGTCACTTTACGACTTCATTTTTTGCTGCATAATTCTCTGTCATTTCATTGTTGGACTGAAATGAGATAAGGAATTAAGATATTTCAGAGAGCTTAGCTTCTTCCTGAAAGGCTAAGTCACTTTTTCACTGTCTTAACTTTAAAAATGGAACATAAACTCAGATGACCAAGTTTTCTAAGCAAAAAGTAGAAGTGTTTTTTTTAATTTGTTCTATCAATGCAAAAAATATTCTTCTAGCATGCTCATAATGAAGAGAATAGAAAGGAAGTGAGAAGGTAATTCTAAAATAATTTCCAAGTGCTTGATATGCATGTGTATGTGCACATGTGTGTGTATGTGTCCTCACACCTGACAGCAGCAGCTTCCTCACTGGGCATATTTCATCTACATATTCCTGTTTATTTACTCTTTAAAAGAGTTCTAAATTCACACAACTCAAAACCTCCTTGACCCTCATCTTTCATTACATTTCCCTACTGAGAACTTAGGAGAAGAATGACAGCTGGCTCTGCACTCCAGCGGCTGCAGCAGTAGCTGTAACAAACCTGTAACAAACGCTGTCAGTGCAGGGACCGTGCACCCTCACAATGACAAAGACGTGCTGGAAGTGGGAGCGGATGTTCTTTGGGCTGAATGGTTGTGCTCCAGGCTCCTGGAAAACTATTGTCACAATATCATTTCCAATATGTCGTTTTCTCAGAAGCTTTAATGAGGGAAAAAGAAAAAAAAAGGAAAAAAAGGTTAAAACAGACTTTTCACAAATTTCCAATAATTTATTTCTCATTATTATAAATTACTATTGCTCATTTTCTTTCCCCAAGTGATACTTCAAGCTGAAAAGTGAGACAACTGAGGGTTATATATCAAGTACCAGAATTAGTTGTTCACCTAATAAATTTCAGGCATGGTTGTTTTCATAACAATTTCATTTTAATATAGCCTAGAGGGTGAACTTATAAGGGAAAACTTTAAGCTAAACAAAGGGGAAAAACAAATCCCATGAGTATCAAGAGTAATCAGTGATACATGGAAGCAGGAAAACATCCCCCATTTCACACATTTTTACAAGCCAGTGGTAGGTCCTATTTAAAGTTGAAAACAAGTTGTCATTGTCCTTAAGACAAGCTATAAATAATTTCCTGTTGGCTTCTTTCAGTAAATAGAGTGTTCTGCCCAAACAGTATACAGAGTTAAAGAAAAAAAAAGAAAAAAAAAGAAAAAAAAAGAAAAAAAAAGAAAAAAAAAGAAAAAAAAAAGAAAAAAATATAGAAAGAAGAAAGGATCCTGACTAAGGATTTTGGCTCATGTACTCTTGTGTAGTGTGCTGGACCACCCACTCATTATCTCTCTGCATATTACAGTCTGATGAATGCAAACCTTAAAGGGCAATTGACTTAGCTGTAAAAGGTTTAAAATCATCATTTACACTGTGGTCCTTCTGACATGTACTACTGACATTATTGCATACTATCACATCAAAGTAATGCACAATTAAATAGAAAACAGTCCAATGGAGAAAAATCTATGATGTACCTACAATCATCTACTTAGCTCATCTCCCTGACACAGAGACTGCCACCTTCACTTTTGATTCTCTAAGTGGTTTTTTGGTAGTAATGAATAAAAGTTGCCTTAAATACTCAATAGTTCATCTACTTCTGAGCCCATCTTACCTGTTGCTTGTTGTTTGGAGTATATGGCAACATAGTAGAAACGTGGAACATGATTTCATAGTCCTTGTATGTTGTGTACAGAGAATGAGTACCTGTTGAATCAGCTGCAGTTAAAAAAAGACAAAATGAAAGTATTATTAAAAAAAAAATCAAAACCAAAGTTTCATTATTATTAAAAAAACCATCAGTCAAGACAAAAATTTTTATTCATCCTCAATCCTAGCTGAAATATCAGCAAGTAAGAACGTACTCGGAGTTTATTCACCTATCAAAGCAGGTGTCACATAAAGACAGCCTGTGCACTTTTGCATACTTTTCCCAGACAAAAACTTGTTAGGAATAGGGAATTGATACCAGAAGACCCTGAAGAAAGCCTATGTAACGTGAAAAGTGAGAACAAAGTCTGAGATAACTTTCAGTTATCAAATATCCACCCAATATCTCAGAATGAAAGTGAACTGTAAGGAATGTGAAAGAGACTTCAGCAAGGAAGGCAGACAGATACTGAAAATGAATACTGTGATCAAACACACAATAAATAGCAAAGGATCTATAACCCACAACAACAACAGGATGAGTTCTCCTAAGCACAAACATCAGGACTTGAAATTAACTGTAATGAAATCAGGTAGCACCTTCACTGGAGCAGCTGATTTATGGACAGGAACAGTCAAAACCCTTAGTAGGATGCCAGCATGCTTATAACTGATGATGAAAAAAGCCCACAAAAATGACATTATGATGCTGGTATATTAATCTAAGGTAATCTCACCTGTTTTGAGTTCTGACCACCCTATTTTAAAAGTTACAGAAGAAAGAGAAGGGATCCAGAAACAGGCCACAGAAATAATTAAATGTGGATGGAGAGACTTCCATGTGGAGAGAAAATGATAAAAACTAGGACTATAAAGTTTAGAAAGAAAAAAGAAGAGGGGGATATTACTCAGTTTACAAAGTGTTGGGTGAAAACAAGACTCGATTACAGACAAATTGTGAACTTGTTTTCACTTTCTTTCACTCTAAAAAGTGACCTGGAAAAATATGCCATTCATTTAAGCAATAACACATTTAAAGATAAAATAGTAAGTATATGCTATTAAATACAACTTATGTCCATAGTGCAAAAAGCCTGATTTCAAACACCACTTGAAAATAACTCGTTTTATATATGGAACAAAGCATTCTGGCTATTTGAAGTTATATAAACATGCTACTAAATTATATAATCCTAGCTATTTATAACAATGTATTTTAAAAAGCTGTTAAAAAACTGTATCTTGGCATTTTCATTAGCAGAAAGATCACGTTGCTAAGAAGACAACAGATTTGAGATTTATGATGCATTTACAGCAACATAAATATACAGTTTATTTATCCAGATTCTGAGTATAAACTTTGAGAAGTTTGTTCCCTGTCAGATTCAGAAAAATAAAATAGGGGTAGCTTTACTATAAATGAAACACAAAATTATCTTGAAAATTAAATGGAAAGTTTTCTATATTCTATCCATACAGAGATTTTGCACTTCCAAATCCCCTATCTATAATAAAAAGGGGATTAGAAAGAAAAGATTCCTACAATCCAAATATTATTTTAATAATTTAATATTAAATATGCCGATCATTTTCTTTCAAATGCTATTTACAACAGCAGGACAGCTGTAAGGGGATCATTTCACCTTGCCCTGTGTTCACAGCAGCCTCTGTTCTCTGCCTGATCACTGCAGTGCACACCCAAGGAGACAGATACACCCAAAAGTCACCTAAACATCAATGCAACTTCATAACAGCTTCATCTGCTGAACAGTAAATACACTGATTTGTACATCATCTTTTGGAAACGGAGCATACAGAAATATGACAAATAATTGGAAGAGGGGAGGATTAGGTGCAAAAAGATAGGGAAGTGAGACCAGGGAAGGTAGGCCCAGAAAGAGGGGAAGGGGCTCAAAAGGTATTGGGAGAACACAATATAGCAATTCTAACCAAAAATTTTCTAGAACACCTACATATTTAAGCCAAACATTCAAAATTCCTGGCAGGATTTAATTTTAGGCAGAAAAATGTTTTCTGAGAACAGCACTGATTCTGCAAACTAAATAATCAGGCTACAATCCAAATGACACATTTAATAATCCCAGTTATTTCCAAGCACTTTACAGTTTAAATCTCTCCTATTCAAATCCAACTACCAAGAGAAGTCCATATGCACTACGACTGTGCATCTCTCTCACCATTCAGCTTTTGTGAAGTCCAGAATATTTTTCCTGAACTACACCACCATAACTGCAGGTGTTTGTTTTAAACCAAATCACAATTTGCAATAAAATCCAAGACTGTGTACTCGAATAACATCCATCATTTCAAGGTTAAAACTGCAAGCCAACACTGCAATCTACTTCTATTTAACAGAGGCCTGAGGGATCTTGAAATTCATTAGCACCTTTTTACACTGAAGATATCCCCTCTGGCCACCATTTTATGGCACAGCTACTCATTGCTTTCCCAGCCTTGCCCCATTACTGGATCTGGGCACTTAGCTGAGTAGCTGATTCTTTTTCCCTTCCATCATTAATCATCTCTAAAAACCCTCCTTTGTCTTCTGTCCTTCCAAAGATTCTCAGCTATATTCACAAGGATTAACAGACACACATTTTGAAGTGTTTTCCTTCTAACACCAACAGTGCTCAAAACTGTGGCAGACAACCACCAACATTCTGCTGACTGAATCCACAGGACTTTGTCAGCCTGCTTCTACAGCAGTTTAACGTCTGTGCTAGAAAACTCCATAAAAACCATTATGAGTAGAGAATCTGACTCCCTGTTTCAAAGAAAAACAATCCAAGGAATTGTAGGAGAAAGAAAAGTAAGTTACACTGATAAGGCAGGATAACCACTACTACAATCTGCGGTAGGGCTCACAATAAAAAGCATAAGAACAAATATTTTCAGAGCTTAATGTTGCTCCCCTCTACCTTTGCTTTGTCAGCAGCTGTCAACACTGCTCTTCTATCATACACAAGGATTACACCAAGCATTCATGATCAAATTCTGTAATACCCAAACTGCTTTCAGACAGAAATGAGGAGGACAGAATCTTTTATTTTGTACCATACAAAAATATAGGTGTAACACAAATGCAGAGAAATGCAGATGGACTTCCCCCATCACTATTTCTGCTTCTTAAGCAACTTAACATTTTAAGATTTGTTGGTCTCCCAACAGAAGGCTCAGACCCAAGAGTAAGCCTATCATTATTTCCACAAGGTTGCAAAGCTGTTATATGGTGCAAGTTAAAAAGGTAATCTATCTGTATTATTTCATTAGAAACACTGGGGTTTCTTGACAACCCCTAAATGAAATGTCAATTCAAAGTTCATTCATTCCCTAGATTTTATTATCTACTTAATTAGCTTATGGTTTTATATTCTTCTGATGTCTCAATCAGAAAATCATGCAGTATATAAACATTTAGTACAGAAACCTACCATTATTAACTTAGTTTGTAATCTTATCAAATTGATAAATCATAAAATTCCCAGCTCATATTAATCAACTTCCTTTATTTCCCTCATCAACCACACCACCACTCTGTTGGACACACAATCCTTGTTACCAGGCCCAGCATTATCAAGCTGATCCCACTTACCAGTGTAGAACACTGAAAAGCAAGACTAAGTGAGGGGGAGGGAAATAAAGCATACATTACAACTGGAAAATAAAGAAAATTGACTGAAGTTATAATTTGAAAGATCACTGTGATGTTTATTACTTTAAAGTGATGCCCATAAGCTTCCTAGTCACTGTGGGATAGGTGACATTTTCAAGCTCTATTTCCTATCCAAAGTCTGCAGGCTGCAAGGAGATAGACTGTTTCCCCTCTGGTAATTCTAGAAATAAACAAACAAAATTTGAAAAGTAGCATCTCTTTTTCACAGCGGTACTGGCAGAGATCCAAAACTAAAGCCCTTGAAGGATGCAATACACTTAAAGAGGCTTTCAGTTAATAGTATGCATGAGATTCCTCCTTTTAAGGAACTGGCTCTGTTATGGACACTTACTAATTATGACCCTAACTCTAAAAATTTCTAAGAATAACTGTTCTGAAACTGCCTTTATGCTAGAGCAACTTTACTTTTCTAAATTTGCATAAATTAAAAATAGTGTGAATATTTCCAGAGTACGTAAAAAACCAGTTCATCTGCATGCAGAGAAACATCTTTCCACGTCTTACATCATGTAACTGCTTTCCACAGCTTGCAAAGTATTGTCAAAGGTACAGAAACTAGCCAAGCAGTCTACACAGATCTGACCTTTCTGACAAGTCAATGAACAGACATTTGTTTTTAAGCGCATCTTTGCAATCAACTGTGCTGCCACTGAACACAGTCCTGGGGCAGGAAAACTTCCTGAGTAGTGAGACTCCAAAAACTATTTCAAGACAAGGCTCTCTAGCAACAAAAGAGCACAGAGCTGGAAGAAGGAGAAGCTCAGTTCCTAGCTGCAGACCTAGCTGTTGCAACAAAACCCATAAACCTAAGTCACCATAAAAAACCACAACCCCCTCCTTTGCAGGTCTCTGTGTTAAGGCCAACAAAAAAGGACCAACTGATTACTTAGGGTAGCTACTGAAAATGTATTGCCTGGCTGTATTCTGCTCTATATATATATATTCCCCACACCTGAGATGCAGCTCTTGTGACCATCTCTGGTCTTTAGCATTTCCCATGCCACTAAGTGGCTTTTTCCCCCCATTTCCTGTGTAGAATATGCTGTAAGTGTTTCCAAATGCAGCTATCCAAAGAGCTGAGTGCTGTGCCCCCAAAGCACCTTCGCTTTCAGCATTACCATCTGTGCTTTGCACACTGGCAGAAAGGAGAAAATACCACCATCAAGATTGAATTAGAAATGTTTGCTGCTATTGTTCACATTTGCTGCTGTCCAGACCTACTCATTAAGAACTCATGCATGCTCACACGTAGTCATGTTTTCTCAGTAATCCTGCAGGCAATCTAACCTGAAAGATTTCAGACAACTTAAGAGTTCCTAAGCAGTTCTGGCTGATAAGGTTCTACATATGTGAGACTGTAAACCTCGACTGAAAGAAAATGTAGGAAATCCTTCAATAAAGCAGCAGTTTCCACTTAGAGGATTTCCTGTCCTCTATGGTAATACTGAAGTGTTCACATAAAGACTTTTTGTATTTTTAGATACAGAATGGAGTTGAGTGGGTCTACTGGGCAATGTGAAAAATATATGCCAGCTCTCAGCTTGGAGGAGAAACCACCATTACAAGAAGATTACTCTCAAAACCAGGAGAGAGTCAGTCAACTTAAAGGTTCCATTCAACAGGTGCTAAATTGTAGTCCATGAACTCAAAGCCTGACAATATTCTTTCCTCGAGTCAGAAGCAACAACAAGGAATTCAAAACACCTCTGGAAAATTTTGCTGTTCAGAAGAAAATGCAAAAGAAGTACTTAAAAGACATTTACAGCTTTCTTGGGTATATTTGTGCAGATGAATCAATCATACAGAATTTACACAATGAATCAATCATACAGCATTTACACATACTAGAAACCAGAGTGTGTGGACTGACACCAAAATATGGGTTATTTTCCTTTTTTTCACATCCTAACTAACCTGGAAGAAAGGGAAGAGACAATCTTGCTTTAACAACTGAAAGTAACAAAAGTCACAATACAAAACTAGAAGCTAAATAAATGTTTTCTCTGTTTTCCATACCCATTTGATTTTTGACCTAGCTCATCTTTATAACCAATAAAATGACAGTTCAGAGCTGTGCAAGAAGAAAACTCACCTTGAGAATTTTAAGTATTTCCTACAAGAGAGCTGATGAGGGACTTCTCTCAAGGACATGTAGCAATAGGACAAGGGGGAATGATTTTAAGCTGAAGAAGGACAGGTTTATATTAGATATTGGGAAGAAATTCTTAACTGGGAGGGTGGTGAGGCACTGGAACAGGTTGCCCAGAGAAGCTGTGAATGCCCCATCCCTGGAAGTATTCATGGCCAGGTTGGATGGATCTTTCAGCAACCTGCTCTAGTGGAAGGTGTCCCTGCCCATGGCTGGGGGGTTGAAATGAATGAGATGATCTTTCAGATCCCTTCCAACCCAAGCCGTTCCATGGGTCTATGAAATGCTCTCAAGGGAGGTACTACAACAGAGGCAATATAAGTATTGCAAGTAAAAAAAACCAGGCTCAATGTTAAATAAGTGCAAAATAGGTATTAATTCAGGTTCAAAACCAAAGGAAGCTTTAGAACCCTCTGAGGATTGACAACTAGACTGGTCAAGAACAGTCTGAGGAGATGGCAATGCAATTGCTGTAGGAATTAAGGACAGAATATAGAATGATGGAGTATTAAAGCACAGCGAAGTACTCTATTTGTGCCAGGAGACCCATGACAAGACCACAGCTTCTGCTGCACTGAAGCTGATGAATGTTTTTCAGCTTTCATGAATCAAACTCCTTATTTCATTTCCTTTGCTACAAGTAAGCAAAATAGCAAAAGATCTCCACAGGAACTGGTTAGCTCCAGTACTCCAAGAAAAGGAACACAATACAAAATTTCCCCAAGTAAGTCAAACAGATATACAAACTGAATGCAGCATGTGCTAGCTGATAAACAGGTATTTCACATGACTGATTCCAAATGCAGGGAGTTTCTCTTATAGTTACGGTCACCCAAGATCATCTCACCACTGCATTTTGTTGCAATATGTTTTACAGTTAGAGCTGATAACATAGCTGCCAAATCCAGTTTAATTTCCATAACTCAAAAAAGAAAAAGCACAGAGGGAGGAATACATTTGACAGGATGACTAAGACAAAACTGACTAGAAGAAAAACTGCATGCAACAGACATCAGAAAAGCAGTATATCAACTTTTCAAGGTGGAGTGATATAGATGCATTTGAAAAACATTTGAGACTCTCTATAAGCGCATAATTTAAAAAAAAAGACATACCAACTGTATTGATTAGCCTTAAGACAACACACTGATGATAGATTTGCAATGCTAATAATCATTCCATAATTACTGACTTCTTGTTGTAGCTTTATTGACAATTTCATACCAAATTAGTGCAAAAATCCAATTATTATCAGAGTTGAGAGACCATATGAGTACAGTTAAATTACACATGCTCCGCTTTCACTTGTATTAAGCAACTGCCTTCCTACAACAAAGATGTTATTTTTAAGGACTCTTCAAAAGGCAGTTAGTAACCACATAAAGCATTTTATTCACTTAAGGGGGGAAAAAAGAATGAAGAAGTCTTACTTTTTGTATCCAGCTGAGCACGGTACTTGTCAAATCCCTTGAGTCGAACTCGCTCTCCCAAGAGCTGAAGAAACTCCTCAAAGGCTGGACCTGCTGATTCATTATTATACATTTCCTCTTCTGTGCTTTGCCCAGCTTTACAGTACATGATACCCACCTTAAGTTGGTAACTTAACTGCAAAAGAAAAAAGATTAAAATTTTATGTGTATTCCAAGTGATGAAGCAACTTACACACCCAATTCACTTCCCACCTTTTCATAAATCCATAATTCACAAATGAAAAGATACCTAATAGTCAGTCTAATTTCAAAAGTTAGACTAATTCCAAATACTCTCATTTTTTTTCTACTGTATTTGCCTCAAGGATGGCAGATTTAATCTGAAGATGTCAAAATGCTTTCTGAAGTGAAACAAACATGAACGTTGCTTATTTCCAGGAGGGCAACACTGCAGCTCGCAAGTGAATGTCCAACACTGAGCCACGTGGGAAGTGCTGGCTGAGAAATGCCAGGAACTTGACACTCACTCACTGGTACCACAGCTGCCATCCTATGCTAAGCCTTCCAGACAGAAGGGTAGGGCACATCATGTGCTTGCTTCTTAAATGAGTGACCAAATGAAATCTCTCTCATTTCAAAGAGAAGATAAAAATTATTCACCTGTTAGCACATTCACCTGTTAGCAATGATGAAAGCCTCCATGACTTTCAGTGGGTCCTGCTCCCTGACTTAAATATAATGATAATAACAAAAAAACCCAACAAAATTGAAAAACGCTGGTTATACTTTGAAGGTACTATTTACTAGCACAGATCTTTAAATACACTTGTGCTTTTCATTTCCATTTTCCCTCTAATTTGGTAGTTGATGGTCCTAATACAGCAGAAACTGAAGATGTAAATGAAGTAATTTTTACCCAATTATAATTGTGATTCCTCAAAGCAAACTGTTTCTACCAATTCCAAATTGATACACACACAAAAAGAAGGAGCACACTGTCATCATTTACATCTGGATTAGAGACAGAAAAGTCACAGAAGGGAAGAAAGCAGCATCCACAGCCATTTACTGCTGTCTCAAAAACCAATTTCACAGGCCAGAACTCTGATTGAAAGAGCACAAGGGAGAGTCTTGGAGTTTATGTATGTAATTCATCCAGTAGAAATGCATCCTTATTGCCTGGTAAATAATCTTTCCTCCTACACATGAATTTGTGCAGAGGCTCTACTTCAAATAAACATTAACCACATATGCCAGAATGAAGTTCTAAGAAAAGCTATCAGAACAAGCATGAGATTTACAAGTTTAGGCTACAGGTTAGTGGGAAGTGAAAACATTTATCTGCAAGGGCACTGGAAGCGAAGTTATCTGAATATACTGTAATTTGCTCTCAGCAGATTCCATCCCAAGCCATGAGGCAAAGGATTTTCAACTTGCTAGGAGCATGTGGACACATAATGAAACTGAAATTCACTATTTTTAACCTATTATATTTATGGTGGGATAATTTAAAGGCCCTCAGAAGTGGTCCTACTCTGTCTCTGAAGAAAGTAAATTTTAAAATTTAAAAACTCTGGAAATTGCTATTTTACTGTACTCTTCCTTTACTACCAAGGATGAATGATGATGGGGATAAAGTATTAGTATCAGGAAAACAAGGAGGGAAAAAGAAGAGTAAGGATAACCAGGCTTGTTTACTCCTGCTTATAGTAAGTCACACTTCTAGGCTTATTTTTCCCCACTACAGAATATCCCTTATTTTACCATCTGACACACTGATTTGCATCTTCTAAAAATGTCCAGATTTCTTATGACAAAACTCGAGTCCAGCACAAAATCTTCAACTGGTTCGGGTTGGAAGGGACCTTAAGGATCATCCAGTTTCTAAAGTCCTGACATGGGCAGCAGGGACACTTTCTACTAGACCAGGTCTGCTCTACTAGACCAGACTTGCTCAAATTCACATCCAACTTTACTTTAGTACCTTCAGCGATGGGACATGCCCAGCTTGGCAATCTGCTCCAGTGCCTCCTGCTGACCCGTGGTGAGGGAGGAGAGGAGGGGAGCGAGGAAAGGTGGTGAGAGGTGGCAGTGCCGCCGTTCCTGCTGGAACAACTGCCATCGCTCTCCACACCATCAGCAGCAGGTCCTGTCTTGGACCATTCAGGCATCTGCTGCCCACACGTGCCTTCTCCAGTCCCACAGAAACAGGATGGATCTAAGTGCTTCATGGAGCCACAACACCTTAGCTGTACTGCCAACTACAACAGCTTCTAGTAATTTCACTTAAAGAAGTTAGGACAAAGAAAATTATTTCATGAAGCACACTTGCACTAAAGCTTCAACTTTAGGTGCAGGAAGTATTCTCAAGGGCATAAATATAAATGGGATCTGCAGCACCAATGAGCAAGCAAACAACCGTGCTTTATTGCTTTGAAAATGTCAGCCTGAGAAACTAAACAAGGACTACGCAAAGAGCAGGATATGCCTTCTAGCTGGGTTCTTAGATTTGCTAATTTGTGGAAAAAAGTTTCCTTAAGGACAACACAAATTGGCATTTCTGAAAAAGAGCAGATCTGGAGAAAGCATGCAGTCCCCATTATTAGACCTCCTTCTGATAAACCTACAGTCCTTAGAAGTGTATTAACTACAAGAAAAAGCTAAAAAAGAAGTTGAAGCATGAATTCTGTTGTGGTAAAACTACTAAAGTAACAACTTCATTTTAATAATCTGAAAGTATTTACATATTTATATACATAAGAAAAGTACACTTTAAGTATTTATCTAGCACACAGTAAAGACAGCCAAAAGTATAGCTTGGATTTAACCAGTCAGCAACTTTATATTATGAACCAGGAATTATATTAAGAACCAAGTGACATTTGGCAGTATTTCTATGAATGAGGAATTGCCATAAAGATTAGCTTCAACTGCAATAAATCAGTAATTGCCCTAATATTCAAATTTTTAAATCATATTTGAAAGCAAACTTACAGTAAACTACCATGAGCTCTGCATTCAAGACTAAGATTAGTAGAAGGTGATTAGCAAAGAAGGCAGTGCAGCCCTAGGAAATTATTGGATTGCTGTTTAACACAGAACTATTCAAATGAATGCATTTTAATAAATCAAATAAAAGAACAGCTAGGTGACAAGCAGTGTGGACCATATGTACGAACAGCAGATGTTACCACTCTAGCAATCCAAGAGGAAGTAAGGAAGGAGAAACTTTCACAGACACCACCAGTACAAAACTAGGGCAAGAAAAATATTCCCATTCTAGCATTGAATGACATATGCAGATATTGAAAGAGAAGAGACAGAGCTCAGGCATAAGAGTGATATGAAATGCAGAGAAAATATGTTGCAGTGAAAGACTCGAAAAGTGCAATCTGTTTAGTTTATCATAAACAAGACCAACAGATGATATAATCACTGCATACAAAAACCTTTGCTGGAAAAAATCTCACACCAAAAAGACTTTTAAAATGTAGCAGAGAAAAATATGAGAAGTCTTAAAGCTGAAGGCAGATAAATTTAAATAAAGAAGTGTAAATTCTTAAACATGAAAACAACCAACTGCTTCAAGACCTCTCTCAAATATAAAGAAGACATCTTATTCTAATGAAAACTGATGCATACAAATTTGGCTCAGTGAAGGGATTTCCTGGGTGAAATTTAGTGGCTAAGTCAGGCTAAGGTGACTTTATAATCTTAACCCTTAAATTTACAAAACATTTTATCTGCTATATCAAACAGGCACCTGCTCATGCTGTAATGAAACAGTGTGACACTCAGCAAGAAAAAGTGATTAACATTCTGTGTACTTAATTAGTAGAGCAGCTGCTACCCAATTTTTGTTAGCTTAGATTTGAAAAAAATGCAGCTTCTAATTAGCACAGAGTGTACTTATCTTTTTTGCTAGAAGTGTCAAACTGTTTCATTACCACAGAAACAGAAAATATTTGATTCAGATAACAAAAATTCAACTATCACTTGCCCTTAATTATTTTCAAACGTTTAAGTATTAGAAAGCCATATTATGGGAGCTTAATAACATATAGGATATGAACTAAGGATAATTTAACCTCACAGTTTTGTTAGATGCCATGGAATCATAGAGTGCTCTTTAAGGTCATTCAGCTCCCATCCCCTGCCATGCACGGGGACACCCCTCACTAGACCAAACTACTCAGAGCACATTCAACCTGGCCTTGAACACCTCCAGTAATAAGGCATCCACAGCTTCTCTGGGCAACCTGTTCCAGTGCCTCAACACCCTCACAGCAAAGAACTTCTTCATAATACCTAGTCTAAACCTACTCTCTTTCAGTATGAAGTTATTTCCCCCTATCCTGTCACTCTGTGCTGTTGTAAAAAGTCTCTCTCCCTCTTTCCTATAGGTTCCTTTCAGGTACTGGAAGGCCACAGTTAGGTCACCCCAAGCCTTGTCTTACAGGGTGAACAATTCCAGTTCTCTCAGCCTTTGCTCACAGCAGAGATGCTTTGACCCTCCAATCATCTTGGTGGCCTCCTCTGGAGTGACTCCAGCAGCTCCATGTCCTTCCTGTGCTGGGGCATCAGAGCTGATGCAGCCCTGCAGTGGGCTCTCAGCAGAGCAGAGCACAGGGGCAGAATCCCCTCCCTCCCCTGCTGCCCACGCTGCTCTGGATGCAGCCCAGGACACGTGTGGCTCTCTGGGCTGGGAGTGCCCACAGCTGGGTCATGTTCAGCCTCTCAGCCAGCAGCACCCCCAAGTCCTTCTCAGCAGGGCTGCTCTCAATCTGTTCAGTCTCCAGCCTGTGAATGCCAGAGGTGCAGAATCCAGGTGCAGTATCTTGCCCTTGGTCATCTTAAACCTTGAGATTCCCATAGGGCCACTTCTTGAGCTTGTCCACATCCCTCTGGGTGGCACCCCATCATTCAGGCATGGCAACTGCACCACTCAGCTTCCTAATTTGCTGAGGGTGCACCCAATCTATGTCATTAATGAAGATATTAAATCCCACTATGAACCCGAGATAAACCACTTATCCCTGATGTCCACTGTGACTCTGAGCCATTGACCATTACCCTTTGGATGAGACCATCCAACCAATTCCTTACCCATCTAACAGTCCACTCATCAAATCCATCTTTCTCCAGTTCAGAGAGAAGGATGTTGTGGGGGACCATGTCCAAAGCTTTACAGAAGTCCAGAAAAACAATATTGTAACCCCTCCCTTGGTCCACTGATGTAGTTACTCCATCGCAGAAGGCCACTGGGTCGGTCAGTCAGGATTTGCCCTTGCTGAATCTGTGCTGGCTGTCTCAAACCCACCTCCCTGTCGTCCATGTGCCTTAGCAGAGCTTCTAGGAGGATCTGTTCCATGACCTTCCCAGGCACAGAGGGGAGGCTGACAGGGTGATGGCTCCCAGGGAATCTTCCTTTCTGCCCTTTTTAAACATGGGTACAATGTTTCCCGTCTTCCAGGCTCCTGGGATTTCCCCTGTCTGCCATCACTTTTCAAATGCCATGGAGAGTGGTTTGGCAACTCCATCAGCCAATTCCTTCAGGACTCTGGGATGCATCCCATTAATCCAAATCCCATTACGTACGTTCAGGTTCATCAGACGGTCATGGAACATGATCTTTTCTTACAGTGGGAGGGACCCAGTCCCCATCCTGGGTCCATACACTCAAGTGGCATGGAAAGAGAGGTTGCCAGTGAGGACTGAGGCATGCACACAGCTATAAAATGTCACTACTGAAGTTGATAATCATAAAATTCACTTGAGTCATGGACTTCCATTTTTCTAAGTCAAAGCTGTAGTGCTAATGAGCCTTGGTCCCATCTTTAAAAGACAAGGAGACTATTACCTCATTGAAAATTACTCGCATGAAGAAATCCTTAGAGTATTTTTCCATGTAGTTTATTCCAGGGGAAAGAAAAAAAGAACACCAACAAAACAAAACAAGACAGGCAGCACCCTGGTCATGGTTTAGTCAATGCAGTATTACAATGAAACGTTTAGCACCGTGGGAGACTTACCTTCTTAGTATAATAGCAATAAGAGAAACAGAACTCCCTCCTTCCCACAGTCTTTGAAAAACAATACTGTAGTCTCTTTCACAGGAAATTTAAATTAACAACTGCCATAACATGAATCTAAAACTTTAGGCCACCCAGAGAAATGAACTTGATTTCGTACATCCCAAACATTCTGCAAAAGTTGGGGGAAATAGACGCAACATAACTCTCCCTACAGATGACATGTTTTAGTTTAAATGAGGCATTTCAACAGACTTACTCTAATCATATGAGCCTAAAAGATCATTTTGCAACTCATGACAATAATCTGACAGATTAAGATAATTTGTTTAATTCTGTAACTCTGCACTTACCCCTTGCTCATCAAGCTTCATAAGCTGTTCTGTGACTTTTGGAGTGTTGAAGGCCAGCCTTAAGCAATGGATATTCAGCTCTGGAACCACATACTCCAGCACTTCTTTTAGGGGAAGTCCCCTCGCTGTGCAATGCTTTGCAGTAGAAGGGATAGCATCTTCCAACACAGAGCCTCTTAATGTCATGAGCTATGCATACAAAGGAAAAACAGCACATATATTGAGTTATGCACTGAGACTGACGAGCAATAGCAGTGCAACTAGACATACTATTTTTCCAATTCTCAGTACAGATCAAGGACATTAAGGAATTTCTTTTAGCATGAGACCAACACTGATACACAAAAATTCCACTCATTGATAACAATAATCAGACTATTTGAAACAATTCATCACATTTAAGTTTTACAGGAAACTACTACCTGGAAAAGTTAGTATTACTACAGATTTTCTATACTATAGAGCATTTCAAAGTAAAAAGTACATTTCTCAGGTCTACCCACTGCCACATATAAAAGTGAAGAAGGCCATTTCCCTCCTCTTTGCTTGCTTCTAGCTGATGTAGCTCCTGTAAGTTTCTCAAGATTTAACCTTCAGCATTTCCTCTGTACTAGATGCTACGGAATAACTTACATATATTCTGTGCCAGATAAACATGTAGCATAATTCTGCCAGGAGGTTCCTGGATTATACAGGAAGCTATTACCAATGCTGAAAAGCCCATACACCCCATATATTGCACCTGATTTTGCCTGCTCAGTTCTAGTTTCTTTTACTATCCCCCTGGACTGCTTACCTCACTAGTTCTGAATATGATCCGGTAGTTGTACTGAGGTCCATTTTCTTTGATTTCCTCTGGCTTCTCTCTTCTTATACTCACAGCTACTGGACCCAGGTTCTCATCTGCCCCAAAATAGTTCCAGTGTTCTTGTATATGAGAGAAAAAAAAAAAGTATGTCTTACTTCTTACACTTCAACTATATTTCCATGCTTGATTGTTACACTGGAAATAAACTGCCAGCTCCATGGAGCCAATAAGAGCATGTCTTCAAGTGGTACCAGGATGTCAGTCTTGTGCTTCACTTCTCTCATGAGCTCCATTTATACAAAAAGGCTGAAATTCAACATAGCATATCTGCTTAAATAGGCCCAAAACAGGATACACCTCTTACATCAGCTTTTATATTGCCATCTGTTTCGTTCACATTGAACTAAATAAGCACTACTAATTTCCCCACTTAAAAATAAAGAGAAGGAAGCCAAATGCACCAAAGTGGGAAACTGAACAACCTATGTTAAAATAGAAATGTCAAACAACTGTACTTAGCAAAGGATATAAATTATTTATTTTTGTTTGAATGCTTTTTGCCTTTTCCATACACGTTGCTCAGTTCTAAAATGGGAAAAACTGATGAAGCTGAAAAAGAAGTTAAAGGCTTGTTCACAGTAAAAATATCAAATCATAGTACCACAGAAAAATAAAGCACAAGAATAAAATTACTAGCATAAATATTGAACAGTGAAGTGTTCAACAACCCTTAAAGTGCTAAGAGTTCAGTTGATAACCAGTCCAGAGGTAAAGGCAGCAGAGAAGAGAATGCAAGATTGGTGAAATCACTCACTAGCTGAACAGCAGATTCCTTGAAACACATTTTTATATTTGTCTAACTATAGACATGTAAAGTCAAGCTTTACATGAAAAAAAATTAGAAAAGCACATTTACAAAAACCAAAGCTCAACAATTTTAGAGACTGGTGTTGAAGGCTGTTCTATAGAACCTTTTGAGCATTACAGACTATCTTGAGTGATGACAGAGGTATATCTCCATTAATGCAGCAAGATATAAACAAAGCTGCATATATCTTAATTGACTGCTGAATTTAAACATACATTCCCTAAAAGAAAATGTAAGAGAAAAGTCAAAAAGCAGGAGTCAAGCATTGTGCAAGAAAAGTCCCATGTCATCAATTTCCATAAGCTGCATATAGGAATGCATTTATACATGCACAAAAATAGAAAGTTAGAACCACCTGAAAATACAGCTATTCAAAGAAATGTGAAATTCAGTGATATAAAGAAAAGACGTAACTGCCCTGACAGGAAATGTAACCATATAGCCTTTACTACATACAGATTACTTGTTATTCTTAAAACAGAAATTTTAAGAACTTTAGGAGCAGTCTAATATAAGCCATTCTACCACAGAGAGAAAATGTAAAGAATTTTAACATCATACAGAACTGCATCTTTAAAGATAATAAAAACAGATATTGAAATACATTCCATCTAAAGTGAATGGCAATCATTTTTCCAATTAATAATACAGTTAAAAATTTAGGAGCCTCATTTTTTACTCTAGTTCTTTTAAAACTTATACTTACTGGTTCTTACAAAATCTCCCTCCAACATACTAAGTGCTTTCACACAGCTGTCCAGCACTTTAAACCCTTGGGGATTTTACTCAAGTCCCCAGTGTCTGGTATTTTATTATCCTTCACTCCACGTCTTCTGTTTAAGATTTCAGAGCGTGCAAGACAGCGTTAGAGACATGCTTGCAGCATTGGAAGACTTGCTTTCTACCAAATTTGTCTGCTAGTTATGGAAAGCCAATACCCTAAACAAAGGTAATTAAAATTCTAAATTCTTTCAATATCTCGTGGAATAGTCTGTAAGTATTGTCATTAAACTGTGGGTGGCTGAACTGTGAGTGGGAAAATTACTAATAAATTAGGTTATCTATATAACTCTAATTACGTTTACATACTAGTCTACAGATATAAGCCCTGTAAATGCCAGAGATGTTCTGTTGTTCAAAATTTCAAACTATCTTACTTGCACCCTAGCCTTTCTTTCTCCTGCATTAAGTAGCTTGGGTTTTTTGTCAAGATATTTATAGCTCACCAAACCATTTATGGCAGACAAGGTCCATGCAGAAGCAGCACAGTCAGAGAAAGTTAGACTAATTTTTGAATCAGTATATTACACAGCCTTCAAAACTGAGGTAACTTGGCCATCTCACACTAAACTGCTTAGTGACTTAAAAACAGTGATGTGGCTTTTCTTTTATGATTGAAAAACTTAAAGAAAAAAGATATGGAGGTCAGGCATACTAGAAGGGTTCAAACAATTCATTACTTTACTGTATTGACAGCCATACAGATGGTAAAATTTGTGTACCCTGCAATCACTCTAGCCTGCAATTCAGATAGAAAATTTTCTCAGGAGAAATTATTCTACATCTTGGCAACACATTTAAGAAGAGCGGCAAGAGGAATGCTTGAAACTGCACACACACACACAAAATACACATAGATACAATTCTGTATCGTTTGATTGAGCTTTTTAATTAGTTCCTATTGCTTTGGAAAAATGCAGCAAGTAGTGTGGAACTCTACACTTCTCTGCAAAGAGGAAATGTCTTTTATTCTCTCTTCCTCCAGTCTGTACTGGGCAGTGTCTTTCTTGCCTTCCTTTGCACATCCTTCACTCTCTCCTCTACTCACATTTGCTACTGGGTTGTTCATTCTTGACCTTCATCTTCATTCTTCCTCCTCCCCTAAATCCCATCTCTGTATTCATTCTGCAAGCTATAATATATATCCCTGTATCTGACTATTTTTCCTTCTGGTACACTTCATTGTACCTCCACCTGATTTTCCCTTAAATTCTGAATCCCTTTACATCCAACAATTTTCTCTTTCCAGTGCAGGAAAAGTAGCAGCAGGATTAAAGTGCAAAAAGCTTAATATGCAGTGTAAAGAGAGCTAATTAGTTGTTTTATTGGGAAAATAAGGACTATGTCACAATTATAATTCAGGAACTTGATGTCAAACATGAACACCATATTTCTTCACACCACACAAGCTAATTGGAAACAACATTTCTCAAGCTTGACATTTAATCTAAACAACTGGTGAAAAATCATTTAATTAACAGACAATCAGGACAACTAGCAGCTGCCATAAATTAACTTATAAATCCATACTGAAAAAAAAAAGACTTGATTGTAGCTGGTCATTAAAACAAATGATACATACTTTTAAAAACAGTTAGATAGCTATCATATAACTCAAAAGATACTTCCTGTGAAAGAACCAAAGCTAAAATACTTATTTTCCTGGCAGATATTTATGAGCTTCCTTTGCAATGGAAATCCCAGTAAATGCACTTGATTTTAACTGAAAAAGTTCTTTTGTGCTTTCATCATATTTCCCTTTAAATATCATGTCCAAATGATATTCTGCCTAATCAGACTACAAATAAAAACCCCAAACATTTCTCTTCTGAATGAAACGCACATCAAGTTTCCTCTAATCCTAGCTTAGCATTTACAGTTCTGGAAAACCCTGCCCAGTACTTCTCTGGAGACAAAAGGGCAGGCAGCACTTTGGGAGATCTGCAAGTCTAGGCACTTACTTGAAAGGCACCAACTCTCGGATAGAATATGCAGCAATTTAAAGCATCAGGGAAAAGGGTATTTTTACTGGCTGACAACAATTAAAAGAAAGCCGACCAACAGCTCATTTATTATAAAACCAGTTCAGGAAACTATTTACTGCTCAGTCAAGTCTTTCACTCTAAGCCAGTAACTAATATTTGTCCTAAATGGCAACATTAGCCACTACTGCATGAGAAGGATGGAAGCAAAATAGATGCTCTTGGTTCTTTCCATGAGAACTGTAATTCCCAGACACAATTACAGGAACAGAGCAAACAGACTGCTCCTCTGGAGTGACATGCTCTCTTTCCTGAACTGCACTTGGACAAGCTTTTCTCTCTGTGTGATTTTAATATTGATTGTAAATAAGGCTTTAATAAACATGTCTGCAACTTTTCACAAATTGGTTCTCGTGCTGGCTTCATCCTCTCTCTCTTTTTTTATGCACAAGCTTAACTTATAAATGTCTAGACTTCAAACTTTTAGTTAAGTCTTTCTATCAAATACACCTTTTAAAACACACCATTATTTAACCACCTTGTAAATACATCTTGTGCGTCATAAGAGAAGCATTAATTTCCTATAAAAATAAACATTTCCATGTGAGTCAGTTGTGCATGAGCTTCTGTTAGTGAATTGAGAGAAGACACTGAAATTCATAAGACCCTGCAAGGTTCATTTCTCTCCACTAAGTACAAAGGCAGTCTGCATGAATTAATTCAGATATAAAGTGGAGAAAGTGAATTCAGCCTGCCATTATAAAGTTCTCTTGCCAATATCTTTTTCTAAGTATCATTTTTCTTACCTCCACTAAACTGTCTCCACCAGTATTTTCACATTTAGAAGCCGGGACGGCAGGCCAGAATACTGTTTATCAATTCCACTGCTTTGTAGAGGGACCAACTTCCTTTACATACAAAAACTCATCCATTTGCATTCATTAAACTTATACAAGACTCATCCATAAATATCACATGCAAATACTTTACGCTAACTAGATGAAAATATTTTAATTTGGACCATGTTAGTAATACTAGAAGCTCACTTATCCTTCCTCCATACACTGCTAAAACTTGAGATGCATCTATCATCTAAGTAAGAGTACCTGTAAAAAATGAGCTATTGATTTTATATAATTAAAGACTTCAGACAAGTTACCATCAGCATTTCACCAAATTACCTTGAAGAAATTAAAAGGACCTATATGAATTCAACATCTTTCACCCTTTTTTTAAAGACACAAGATTAACTATTTTTTTTTTTTATGTGACAAGACATTTTTCATGAAATCATGCTGACTCACATCACTGATTATTTTTAACTGGCAGTTCTTTATTGATATAGTCTCAAATTACCTTCTTTGTTATTTCCAGTTGGAATAAAAACCAACTCAGCTTACAATTCTCTGGAACATTGCTTTTTATTCTTTGCAAGCTCTAAGGTTACTAGGTGTTCTCAAAGTCCATTATATTTTCCTGGTTTGAGATCTTTAAAAGGTATTCTTGTCAAATCAGAATTCATCTAAGAATACTTCCAAGACTATAAAATTATACAAAGCCTTCTGACTTGACGAGCTGATCCTACTGAAATTGTCTTTTGGCACTGTCTGTTCCATGCATAACATGATAGAAATCCAACTTCTCTTCCAGCAAAAAAATTTCTGCATCATTACTTGCTTCATGTCACATAAAAAATTCAGTTACAACTGACTTCCTAGATTTTTTTCCCCATGATGCTGCTTCAAATTTTATCACTATCCCATCTCATCAGCTTAAAGTTTGCTCAGGGAACGATGATACTCTGGGTGGTCAACAAAACATGTTCTGTACTTGTAGAAAACTGGGGTTTGGGATAGCTAATGAGGCTTCTGAAGTACAGCTTTTGAGATAAAAATCTCTGGAAGAAACAACACCCCTGGTTTGGACTCTGCTAGACTGAACACAAGAAAAGTGAGTCTAAAACCCTGTTTTATTGCTTAAGGAAAAAAAAAAAATCACAGCTTCTTCTCCCCAACCCATCCTACTCCATAGCACACATTTGTTTATCTGGCTGCCTCTTACCATACCCCGAGGACTAGATTATGTTGATTTTATCAATTCTTCCTAATTACACCTAAGAAAAAATGGAAACATAATGGTGACTGGAACTGTAGTAGCATGAGGGTGTGGTTTCCCTTAAGGAGAAGGCAAACCAATAAATTGGTTTTGCCTAAGGGCTGAAATTCCACTCACACCTCCTTCCTCCTCTGCTGTTCACTTCCATCCCTTACCTGGCCACATGGCTTTGGCACTTCTCTGACTGCAAGGAAATAATAATATCCCTCACCAGAACTGGAGAGAAACAATCAAGCAGTAAACCCCAAATTTATTGCAATGGTAAGAATTCTGCTTGCTTGTTCAGTAAGCTCAACTGGCTTATCAAGCTCTCTGAAAACAAGAGAATCGGTACAAGGAAGAGGGAGGAATAATGTCTGCCCCTCTTAGTGCTGAGATGCTGTAAATCAGGTCAGCTGTAACATGAAACTTTAGTTGCAAAACTCACTAGACTGATAAGGAATCAAATTGTTCCAGAGAGAGACAGAGGAAGATAATCCCAAAGGTCACAAACCTCAGGCTCTCCCCTCCAAGCATACCTTATCCTGTATCACACATCTAGCTTACTTTTCCCAGGAAACCATTATTTTTCCTAACTCCTATGTCTCCAAAGGATATGGATCAGCACTCTCAAAAAACATGGAGCAAAGGCTACCTCTCAGCCCTAGAAAGAATGCAGAAAGAGGAGACTGTGGAAAGAGTAACAAGAGCCACATAAACAATGGACAATGCAGGGAGGAAGAGGTGAGAGATGGATGTATTTTGAAGGCAAGAGAAAAATGGGAAATTAATTTATTAGCACTAACATGCAGTTAAGAAGTGTAAGCTTTTTCTTTTAAGACCATCAATTTGACTCTAACCAAGCATCCATGTTGCTTTTATAAGTGAGAAAAACAACCTCTTTTGACTTGCATTCACTGAAGAGAAGAAACCCAGTCCTGATCATTGGAAGGTAAGGAACAAGCACTCTCCAGGTCAGTCATTAGACCAGCTCTATCCATCAGGAAATACAACACAGTCCTGCAGATGGAACTCTTTTAAAGGACTTATGTCTGCAATCCTTTTTGAGCATTTTCAGAATCATGAAGAACAGAGGGAGATCTGTACCTCCTGGTGCCAGTATTATTCTGACTGAGGGGACAGAGTGGGGGAGTGTCTGGGCAATGTTTGGGGCTTGCTCTTTTCTATAGGTCAAAAGGTTTTGATCTGTTGCTTTGGGCTTTTTTCTCCCTCCTATATACATCCAATGGAAATTATAATCCTTGGTTTCAGGGAAGAACCATGTGATAAGAGAACTGCACTCTGTTTTTTCAGATATTCTGTTGGCATTGAAACTCAGGTATTTGTGTGTGTACGTAAAGTTATATCTATACAGGTCTTCATTTCTGTATTATTCATTTTGAAAAATTTTGAAGTGGATTATTAAGTTAATTAGTACGTCCAAAGATTATTGTAAATGCTACCTAAGATGCACATTCCATTAAATCCTCAGTAGATCAACTCCTGGCACAGTGGGAAGAAAGTTCTCGTATTTCAGGATTTTCTTGTTTCAATATCTCAAGTGTCAACCCCTGCCCACTCCTATGGATACCCAAAGCTGTGTTTCAAGACATTCATATTTTGTAGCCATTGCTGCCATGTCTATCAGCAATAAAATCCTCAACATTCTTATACTCCAACACTCTGAAAAACTATTAGATATAGCACATACCATCAGTAAAATACACCACTGAAGAAATCCCTAATTCTTGCACATACTGTTAAGTATCAACTGGATTTTGCATGTTTGGAAAACAAAAAAATAATTCTTAAAACTTAGGGAGAAATGCAATTTACCTACCTTTCTGGTAGAAGAATTTTCGATAATAATATGCACCAAGGTCTACATGTTCAACGATGTATCTTTTCACTCTGTCTAGATGTAAAATCAGATTCTCCTTGGGAACTTCCAGAACTGCAACTCCAGCATTTGTGCAATGAGAACTCAGAGTGGACTCAAATGAGGCACTTTCACACCCACTGAAGGAACCTGAATTAGATTTGGAAAGGCTGATCTTCCTTTCCCCTTCCCCGCCAATCTCATTACGAAAATAAGGACAACTCATCACGAGTTCATTGCTTTTATCGTCCCCCTGGTCCATATTAAGACTTCCTTTTGAATTCAGGTCTTCAGTGCTGCCCATTGGAGAATTGAAACTTGCAGAATGGGACAAGGGTCCAGAGACAAGTGATGCTACAGCAGCAGCAGATGCACCTGTCGTTGTGTTCCTTCTTTTAATAACATTATGCCTGTTGATTGCTGCTTCATTTAAATCAAATAAAATACTCTGTACATCATAATGAGCAAAACACTTCGGACAAGTCCAAGGCTTAATGCTATCTTCTGACCTGTTATCTTCAAGATCTGAAGACTTCCCAAGTTCCCCTTCACCTTTGGCATTACGCAGCTTACGAAAAATAGATGAATCTCCTGTCTCCGATTTTGAGCGTCTCTTGAGTGGCTTCTCCCTTTCCTTAAAGAGTCTCAGGTTTTCCCTTTGAGTAATAGGACCATCTATCACATCTAGAGAGAATCCTGAACCCTTGCTCCCACTGGCAATCAGAAGCTCACCGAGTTTAGTTGAGCCTGGGCTTCTCTGATCAGATTTTTCATCTTTATAGCCCTTCAATAAGTCAAAAAAACTTTCCCCTGAAGTTCCCTGCTTATCTATGGAAGATGTGCTGCCATACTCTCTGTGCAGAGATGGTCCAGATTTAAATGTGGGTGAAATACATTCATCAAAACTATCCACATCAAGCTCACTTATGGTGATGTCGCTGTTGCTGCGCTGTCGTATTCTGCGAAGGGCTTTCCTTGGGGAACTGGGGTAGCCATCGGGTGTAAGAAACCTGGAGTCTAGATTCTCAGATTGTCTGGTCTTGTTTTTAAGTGTGCTCTGGATGCTCTTTAACATGACCGAATCACTAGCATTCAGGTTAACAGAACTTCCCTGACTCCCAGGACTGCTTTTAGAAGACATGCTGTCAAGGCAACTTGACGTGTCAATATCTTGACTAGATCTGCTTGTCTCCTTGATGTTCTCCTTCCTTGGGGGCCAATCGGCAATCCTTGCCCTGACTCCCATTTTAGGGACTCCAGGGGTAGAGGTAACATGATGGGAACTCTCATTGCGAGGAGGTCCAACTGGCGCCATGACTGCAGATCCTAAGCTGCCATTCTGTGACCGAAAGCGCCTCATGTAGAAGTCATCCGAGTGGACTTTTGAGGTGCCATCTGTTCCGACTGATACCCCAGTGGCAACAGCCCTTTCGGTCTGGGACCGCTTCAAGCTGGTCATGGTCTTTCAGTATGCTCAACCTCAGTAAGTTCCAAAAAAACCCACAGTCATTTCTGCTTTTTAAATGCACAGTTCTCTTCCGGAGAATAGTCTCCAAAACATACAATGGTTGCATGAGATCCTAATCATGGACATTTAAGGACGCAGTTAAATGCCGAATGTCCAGAAAATTCAGATATTCAGTAGGTTTTGATAAGCAATAATTTCCTTTAACTTCTGCATTTTAAGAGGCAGCCATGCTCCAATACATTCAAATAGTTTTAACATCACTCATGCTCCAAAATGTCAGAGGTGTAATTGAATCGCTTATGTTTCTTTTAAGCCTAGAACAGAAAAAAAAAAAAGAGAGAAAATCATTAATTCCTTAATACAGAACTTTTTTGGTAACTAATACTATCAAGGTAATTATTAAACATAACTAATATTTTTAACAAACATGTTTTTAAATCACATTGATCACCATCACAAAAATGCAGCACTGTGTTACATGGTGGCGATGAGTTTTCTAGGTATTGTAGGGTTGCCTTCTGAAAAAATAATACTGGGTTCTGATTCCAACAAATACAAATTTTTCCTTCTGAATTGATCAGTGGTACTTTTTAGTTGGGTTAGCAAACAGTGTTACAAAGCACAAGTAGGGAGCTTCTCAGCTAAGGATACATACAGCATACATTTCCCAGAGAAATTATATAAGAGCCAGATCAGAACTTCAATTTTTAAAACCACTTTAAAGAATTTACCATTTACAAGTCCTACATCCTTGGTTGTCGTCAGGTATTAACACTACCTATTCAAGTTTCCCATTAATGTAAATATCTGAGATTTGAACTGGAAAAAAAAAAAAGGAAGCTAATTAGCAAAAAGCGTATCAAATTGTAAGAGAAGATGGCTGTCAAGAACATTTATTTTGTGCTTTGCACAGCCTTATCCGCACATCAGCTGCATAGTCCAGAAAGCATGTATTTACCTCTGAACAGAGTTTACAGCATATAAAAAGGTTAAAGCTAAATAGAAACACATACTTTTAAGTAACTTGATATGACAAGTTTCATTTATTTCCCTGGCTAATAAAATTTTGTCTACCACAGCTCCTATATTCTTCCAGCTTCAAAAAGTCATAGAAATTAAATGCTTTCCCATACCTCATCAGTACAGAAGTGATTACAAAGCCTTTAGTACACTGCCCTTTGAGGAGCTAAAAAACCATAATCCACAAATACATCCTTGCTGGTAGAAGACAAAAGCATGGGATTGTCAAGATAAAATCTTGCATTGCTGGGTACATCCTTTAACACAAAGAAGTTAATAATTTTCAAAGGCTGAGCCAATCACACAAAAGGTGTCCTTTAAATATTTGCCAAATGTGTGCAGAGAGGCTGCTGAACCAGCACTGCATTGACAATACAGTATTGTCTAAAATCAAGGCCTTCTGATGCTTCCAGGAAAACCAGCACTTTCTGCAGTCTCAGAACTACAGTACTTTGCACCACACTAATTAAATACCAAGCCAGGGCACTTTCTGCCTCCAAAGGCAGCATGTTTGAATTTCACTTGCCATATAAAGCATCTCTTTAAAATAGCTGCTCTTAATATAAAACTCAACACATAAGGAATACTTAAAATGCAAGCTGACTGCATCACACGTAACAAGAACAGTGCGAGTCACCCAGGGTACAACTGTATTTGCACAGGCATTTATATAAATGCAGCTCTTCTCCTTGGAATGCTGCTGCAGTCTTCGAATCATGGAATGGTTTGAGTTAGAACGGACCTTAAAGATCATCCAGTTCCAGCACCCCTGCCACAGGCAGGGATGCCATCCATTAGATCAGGTCTTAAACACCCCCAGGGATGGGCCATCCACAACTCCTCGGGCAGTCTGTTCTAGTGCCTCACCACACTCACAGGAAAGAACTTTTTACCATTTAATCTAAAACTTGCAATTTTTGAGTTTAAAACTCTTGCCCTTTTGCTATCACTATTTTCTCAGGTAAAAAGTCTCCATCTTTTTCAAAGCCCTCTTTAAATACTGGAAGGCTGCAATAAGGTCTCCTCACAGCCTTCCCTTCTCCAGGCTGAACAATCCCAGCTCTCTCAATCTGTCTTCTTGTAAGAGTTGCTCAAGCCCTCTTATCTTCATGGCCTTTCTCTGGACCTGCTCTAACAGTTTCACATGCTTCTTGTCATGAAGAATTCAGACCCAGATGCACTACTCCAGATCTAACAAGGGGTCCAACAAGGACAGAATACAGGCGAGACGAACATCCCTCGCCCTGCTGCGTTTGATGCAGCCCAGGATATGGCTGGATTTCTGCACTTGCAGCATTGTTGACGTCTGTACAGCTTTTGTCCACCAGCATCCCTAAGTCCTTCTCCACAGGGCTGCTCTCAAAAAGTTCATGTCTCAGTCTGTACTCATGTCTAGGATTGCTCTGACCCAGGTGCAGCACCCTGCTCTTGGACCTATTGAACCTCATTAGGTTCCCACAGACCCGCTCCTTCAGCTTGTCAGTGTCTTCATATACGGCATTCCTTCCTTCTGTTGTGCCAGCTGCAGCACTCAGCTCTGTGTTGTCAATGATACTGCTGAAATAACAGGGTTTTTCTAATTAGAATAACTTCAGAAAGGCAGTTTACCCATGCTGCTGTTTGAAAACTACTGAATATTCAGCCATAACTTTTTACAATTTTCAAACACTGCAGCCTAAGAACTAATCAGGCTGGTGAAACAACTTTGTGCACCATCAGATCAAGGAAGGGAAAATGCAAACACTGTATGCCATGATATAACCTAATCTTCTGCCCATATTTTTCAATGTATGCCTATCAAAGTGTCTACTTTGCAAGGTGCCTGTCAAAGAGTGTTTAAGCACTATTAACCTCTATGAAATGGCAACACTTCACAGTACTTCCTAAAGATCTACACAGGCTCGCTTTTATAGGCAGGACAGAAGGAAAATAGAATGAAAACTGATAAGGATTTAGGGCAGGAGAATGCCAGGCTAAAAGGGATTCTAAAGGAAAAGTCAAGCTGAGAGTTGAACATAAAACATGCAGGAGTACAAGCATCCACTACCACAAGCTGCTCTTCACAGTCTGCAGTGAAAGTCAAGATTTGTCCCTCTCTGTTCCCCTTCTATCAACAGTAAGACAAGTATACACCTCCTCCCCCCCAAATGCTGTCCTACTGAAACAGATCACCTAGTAGTACAGGTTTCTCATTAACTTCAGGGCATAAGTTCATGCAGCAGCTCTAAAAAATCCCAAACTTGGTGTTGACGATATAAGCATCCAAACACCACCAGTTCTCCCTACCTCCCCAAATTATATGTTTTCCCATAAAAATTTTCAGGATGACAATCTTACATAAGGATCTAGATATACAAATGTATCTCTAATAATATGAAAAAACATAACTTAAGTGGTCAATGTATTCTTGACCTGTTGTATACACGGTTTTGTCATTAGTTATGTGACCACACAGTGTATTTTCCAAAGGAAATTCTCTGTTCCTGACTCAGCTTTATGCATGTCTCACTCTGGGGACCAGCTGTTTCATATTCTGCAGGTTTTTGCAGCTGTCCTCCTTCATCTGCTGTAGCAGCTGGAATACAGGCCGTAAATGATTATGGTAATAGTTAATATCATACTCTGAAGAAATGAACTCCACCACTGACTGTGTCTATATGAATTAAATCACTATTAAGTCAAATGTTTTTGAGAGTACAACCACCTGTCTGTGTTTATTTCTCTAGACCTTCCCAGCCTGGTGTCTAATTTGAGACCTAAGAGTCTGGTGTAAAAGGTTTGATTAGTTTCAATCAAAATAAAGGGAAAACTTTACATTTGATAACATCAAAAATTCCTAAAGCACAGGTTCTGGGTACACTGGTTATCAGCTTTAATGAAAATATACAACAACAGCAATCTGTACTTTAACCTTTTCTAGTATTCATTATTTGCAAAACATGACAGCATCAGAGACAGAGCGAATCCCACTTGATTTAAAAGACCAGTAACAGGTGTTATTTTGAACGGGAAAACCTGCCAGAAATATTAAGCAGCAAAATTGCTAACACAGAAGATGCAATATATTAACATTAGTTGCAATTACAAGATCAGCAGTATGGTACCTACTTCTAATGCCAAGAGCAGCATTTATGAAGAGTAACAAATCCTACTTTGTTACCATTTCAATATAGAAAAAAACACAAGGTAGAGCTATGAATATCTATGCGAATAGAATATGGTGAGGCCAAACTAGCATAACCATGCAAATGCACTTTTCCAATTTCCAATTACTGAGGAGGCCAACAAAATAATCAGATAAACAGCTATATATAAAACACTGTAAATGAAAACCACATGTAAAAACTACTGAAAGTATACATGAAAACTTACTACTGATTATATCAACTGAAAACCTGAATAGAGAGTTAAGAGAATAAGCATAAAAAACAATTATCTGCTTATCAGATTCCACACAATAATTAGTAAAGCAATCCAAGCATGTGTTCAAAATAGGTCTCAGATACTTAGGACAAATTTTGGTTTTTTTAGTTTGCACCAGTACCAGATGACTAAGTATCTAATCTCAACTCAAAATGAGCACAAACCTATCTTCATTCTTTTGCTTCCTATTTATACCTTTTTAAATCACTTTGCTGTCTCCTCCAAAGCCAAAGTTTTAGGTGCAGGACAAAGAACAACTCTTATAAAACTTAAAAGGACCCTGTTGATGAACTGCAAGATGGTTTTGCAGACTCCATCATTCTTAAAAGGCAGGGAAGTCAAGGATCTTGATTTCTTGTTTGTCATGCCTGAAATCACACACCCAGAAAAATGAAGACATACCAGTCGAGATTTCATCTAGAGACCTTTGCAATACAAAGCAGCAAATACAAGTAGTTGATCAAGAAGAAATATCTCAAATCAGTTCAGGATAGCAAAAAAGCGCCTCAATTACTGCACAGATCTATCTTGGATCCAGTTAGACAAAGAAGATAATGCAACAACTACTTAAGGTGAAAGGAGGAAAGGAGATCATGCCTGACACATCAATTCAGATACCTTCTATTACAATTTTTCCTAGCATTAGTTATGTGGAATCATGCTCTTTTTCCCTGCAAAGTAGTGACTTTACCCACAACTGAGTCTCACTTGACAAGATTCAGCAATTACTCTTATCTGCTGAGAACATGATGAGACTCCAGATTCTGGAATCACGGGTGCTAATGATCCTAATAGTCTGATGTTGACAGAGATAGATTTGGGGGCACCAAATTATTCATGACTCATAACGTTCCAAAGGAAAGACTTCATA